TAGACTACAAGAACATGATAGGTTTTTCTTAGTTTTCCCAGCATCTACAAGCCCAAAACGTGAAGCAAGTCAGTGTAACAATATTTGCTATAACATACTAATCCTTCAAATCCATTTATTTCTGAAAATTGCAGCAAAAGCAAATGTTGTACATTCCCTTTAAATCGTGAAAGTTCCCCTTTTTTTTCAGAGGAAAGGGGCCAACTTGCCCCAGGAGGCCGATGAAGTAATATTTCTCAGAATCCTCGGGAAAACTCAAGCTGACTCAGTGTTGTCATGATCCACAGCGGTATTGACAAGCGCAATACCATGATTGACCCAAAAAAAATCGTAGAGGGTTTCGGATTTCAAGGGTCGGGGAAATATTACGCTCTTAGTTCAATACGGACCGGTGGATATTACATTCTATATGTAAATACTGACTGGGGAGTGGGGAACCTGTTCAGAAATCGCGCACGTAGGCCACTCTAAAGATCCGCCGCAAACGAAGAAGCAGGATTAGGTCATTAAAGAGCCCCGCGGACTGTTGTAGAAAGACTCCTCCAGCCTGGAGGTACACATTGTTTGACAGGACATGAACAAGATAATAATAAGAGTGACAGCGTTGGGTGCTTGTACTCTGTTCACACAGTGCGAAATCTGGAGGTCAGTCGCGGAATCTAATAATGCCAGTGTGTATAAAATCAATCAATTCTCACATTGCAGCATTCTCTATGCTTGAGTCAATTTGTAGTTTGTACATGAGGCCGAAATAACAACTTTGACTAGTCTGTGCAGCAGATATTTTACCTGAGACACAAGTGCGATTGCACGATAAGCTCTGGCCGTCTTGCATGAAAGTCTTGCACGAAATGATACAAACACTCACTTGGTCGTGATTGTCAATTGAAATAAGGATTTTCCATTTTTGTTGAAAGTAACAATAAGTTGTTTTTTTTAATTACTTGGATCTGTGCAAATTTTAATTTTTTTTTCCAGCTCAATGTAAATGTTCCTTCTAATTTTCAAAGTTTGATAACTTTACCCGGGAGACTTTTGATCAGTTTCGGCAAGTGAAACTGAATAACGACATTTCATTTGAGCTTTTTTTGTATCTGAATACTGTGTCTGAATACTTGGCGCACCATTATGGGTGCACTGTAAAGGGCGCCCCCACACATTTTGAAAAAAATTCACACCCAACCCGGGGACCCAAAAAATCTGTTATACAATTTTTTAAAATTATTTTAAATGGCCAGGATACAGAAATGCAAGCCATAAATGTTTGCACATTGCAGAAATGCAAGACATAAATGTTTGCCGACAAGCAAACTCTGGCATGAATCTGTGAATTCATTCTATAATCACAGCAAAAACACATGGTAAAAGCTTTAATGCCCAGAGTCAGAAATCAGTTGCGGTACAAGCAGCCGAACAAAGTAGCTAGAATTAGCGAGCTGTCGCCAGCACTGATTAGAAACACTTTAATTAGACCTTGCAGTCTAGACAGCAATACTCTAGATCAATTAATCAATCTCAATGGTCAAAACAAAAATCTAAAATGACCTTGCATCTGTAAATCCCGCCCCCCCCCCCAAAAAAAAGATACTTCAATAAAATTACTTCTAAAATCAAGGCAGTTAGTTTGTTGATAATTTTTCTGGAGGTCGTTATGCGTAGTTATTTCATCGTGCCTTTTCTTGCGTTACAATGATCAGTTACTCAAATTCAGCCAAATCAAATGCAACTAAAAATCAACCACGTTTTTCATTAAACGAAAAGAATAGACAAGGTCAAAGTTTAAATTTGTATTTTTTTGGGGGGGGGGAGGGTTAAGTTTTGCAGTAGCCTGATTTTTAGATAGCCATATTGAAAATTACTCTGATTTTGTGTAGCAGCCAAAAGTAATTAAAGTAGCCTTATATTCTGGAAAACTAATTGCTCTTAGAATAAATAAAGCGATATATCTGGTGGGAAACGATCAGGTTACGTAATCCCGGTTCCGAGTGGTTTGGCCTTGATGTCAATATGATCGCCAGTCGTAATGAAAAGACTTGATGCATGACCCGCGGGTAGATTCGACGTGGACAGGCCGGAAAAATGGGAACAGTCCCCACAGCAATTAAGGTATACTACTCAGGGTGAAGTAATTACTTCGGCCCCAAGAAAGAGGAAATTTCTGAGAAAGTTAAAAGCTGGTTAGCAAATAAATGACAAAAAGGAGAATCAAAGATCTTATAATTGGATAGAGATGCAGGATTTGTGGCTAAGGGGGTTGAGAACTCGAAACCGTGATTAAGGATGTAAGGTCAGGCATTTTATTACATTATCCACTTGTACTATCTGATTATTGAGGACCCTGGTTGATTACTGAGGACCCCAGGATTTTTAAATGACAAGAACAAAATGTAATTGGAACCCTCAGGCTATCGATTCTTAAATCACGACGTCCTTATACTCCGACGAACTATCATTAATATCGTCTGAGATTTTCAGAAGGACCTTACGTGCGATTGCGAACGTGCATCTGTGGGCTCCGTGTTTATTTTTGATCAGTTGCTGGGGTATTTTGGAGGATTGGGGAAGGTTAGGGTTAACCCTGATCTTCATCAATCCTCCAAAATCGTATGAATGGCAGATTTTGGAGGATTGAGGCTGAATTTTGGAGGATGCATTGTGTCGAGTTCGTAGGCTGTACCCTGCATTGTTTATGTTCAGCCATGTAGACTTGAGCCCTGCATTAATTATATCCTCGGCACTGCCTCAACCCATTAACAGTGATTATTGGAGGATTTTGAAGGATTGAGGCAGTGGTCACCCCTCCACTTAACAAATTCAAGAAATAACAGATGATTTTGGAGGATTCAGGCTGAATCCAATTATTACAAGGTGGCAATCGAAAGATTTTGCAGGATTGAGGATGGTTTTTGGCCGAAAGGGCCGAAAGGACCTAAAGGGTTAGGGTTAATATAAAAAATAAATAAAATGAAAATCTTCATCCAATCAACTATTATCAAACTGGGTCTCAGCTGACTCAAGTATTTGCATAATTGGGCTAAGTAATATTTCAGATGCCTGGAAATTGATGAGAGCGAAAATGCATGCGTAGTAACTTATTTACATCCACTAGAGGCAAGTTTAAAGGGGCTCTCCCCATTTCAGTTTTTCTGCAAGGAACATTTTGAAGACATCCAAAACTAAAGGGGTTGCCAAAAACTGATGAAAAGCTACAAATTTCCTTGTGGGGAAAGACGGCCCCTTTAAATATTTTTAAAGGGGCTCTCTGAAAATTTTTGACAAAGAGTGCCCCTTTAATTTCTTGGGCAATCAAAATAACTCCAACACTAATGAAAATAAAACCTCTAATATCACTCCATGTGAACGGTTTTCTTATCAGAATAAATCATTTACAGCTTAAAAAAAAAATGACCGATTTTCAGATTTATTGATATTTATAACCTTTGATATGTCTACAACACATACTTTAAAGAAACAGTACACAAATTGTGGAATAAAAATGTTTTTAAGGAAAACCAATTGACATCTTTGATTTGCACGAATACAAAACTCGAAACTTAAAAAGGCCTTTTTCTCAGTATTTTACTGAGTTGCAAGCTTTAAACATCCATAAATTGTCAACTGAATGTCTGACCGAAGTACAACAAACAGTATTGCAAGGAGAATTGTATTCTCTTTCCTAATACCTGCAAACCCTCATTTCAACCTCTGCCCAGTTGTGTCTCAATTTGCCCGAACGCCTATTTACAAAGATGAAGACATTTTTTGACCAAGAGTGCCCCTTTAATTTTTGAGTTGCGATAAAACTCAAAAACTGATGTGGGAAAAAAAATTCGGTATCACGACGCATTAATATTTCTGTGTTAGAATTCATCATTTACAGCTTGAAAACAAGTTAACTACTCCAAAGGTGAAATTGTGTTTGTTTACGAAGTGCACCCCTTTAATTTTCTCAGGCTATCAGGATGATTCCTATGGGCAAGGTCCCATGGGAATTTCGATTTAGCAGCTGCATCAATCATACCACCGTACTCATGTAGACTACAAACAAAATTCCCAGGGATCATGGATGCACAGCGCGCCCTTCAAGAGCACTTTGATGCTTGCTTATCGGTGCCTGTTATTATTTTTTTTTGAATGCGTCATTATCTTTTCATGATCAGCATACTAAACCATTTTTCAGGCCAGGGTAGTGGAAAGTCGCCGGCTATTATATCAAAAAGTCCATCGCCGTTCGTGCTGATCGAAATTGCTGGCCGTTAAGATGATTGAAAAAAATCGGGGGACAAAAGATACTTTGTGTTTTTGAAAAGATGCTTTACGTTGCGCTTAATGAAATATTATTTATTTATTTATAAGCAAAAGCAATCAATTTTTTTGGGCTAGATGAGTTTTAAATTGATAGGTCTCATGTAGAGGGATCTGTTATGCATACTGATCACAGAGAAGGTAATTCAGTATTTTTTAATTATGAAACTGAACTTCCATAACCAGTTTGCGTCGGAGGACGTGATAACACGCACTGGCTGTTTTTATACACAGGCACGGCTGACGGTTTAAGACGTCAAGATTGCCTTGAATCGCCTCCGGGTGACGTCTAAACACGCAAAAAGTCGTGAATTCTGTGGAGGCAGACCGTGTGTTGATCTTGAATTGGCTGCTGTGCACGGCCTATTGTTCTTCAGTTTACGCTCCAGTGCACACCTCGGAGTATTGAAACATCAAGGTTTCGGCAAGAAATATCGTACAAATACTGCTGAAATGACTCTTGCGAATCAGTATTTGTGGCGTTTGACTGTATATATCAGAAGTTGGCTGGAAAATTTTGCCTTTTGCAAAAATCAAATTTTTTTGGCAGAAATAATCCCGGCGCGAAGTGGTTAAACCAGCAGATTCAACTCCCAAGGTTTTGTAGGATTTCGATGGAATCAGGATTATAGGATTACAAATAATATTTTTGACAATGTCTTCTTTTTTCTTCTTCTGTGTTCATATATATACAGTTGGCACCGACCAGGACCGCGTACAAGTGCACGTGGCCGGGGTGCGGCAAGACGTTATGCAAAGTACAAGGGATTGAGAAGCACATCCGCAGCCAACATCTCAGGTAAGACATGGCTGACCCATAGAGGGCGCTTTAAGGAATGGCTGACCCATACAAACCACTAGAGCAAGCATTATGAAGAATTTGAAGTTTCTCAACAATGAAGTTTGCCAACAACACTAAATGAGGAAAGTCGGAGGAAAATCAGGGAAACGTCAAAGTGCGCCACTTTAGGGAAAACCACAATAGCTATAGTTTCTGATTGAACATGCTCAGATAAAAAAGCTATTTAATTATATAGATTTTTAATCATACACAATTCATTTTCTCAGAAATCTGATGAAAATGCTTGAAAAAGGCCATCGATTAATCATATTAGTCAACCTAGTTCGGCAGTAAGTCCTTGAGTGTATTTTCCTCCCTAAAAGCCAGAGGAGAGGGCCCTCAGGCAAAGTACGATCCAGATGAAAAAGTGAATTCCTGGCTTAAATGAAAAGCGAGATACACTCCGGAGAATTGGCAAATATTTTGATGGCAAAGTCTTTCCTAATTGTCCTCTTCGACCTCAAGAGTTGATGAAAGTCAGTAGACGCATTCTGGAGGCTGCAAAATTCCAGATGCTTGCGTTCCCATGAGAGACTTTGATGTTGCGGTCCGTCGGTTGGGATGTTATGAGTTAGGTGAGATGATCAGGCTGCCTGAAAGGGAGTTGATGGATTAGGATGGTGAGATTTTGATCCAGGGATTGGTTTGGACTTTGTCTGGTCGATTAGGTTGTTGTCTGGCTGGCCGGTTTGTTTGTTGGTTAAGTTGTTGGTTAAGTGGTTGACTAGCTGACTGTCAACTTGACTTGCCGGCTGCTGAAAGTGAGAGTTGGATTGAAAATGAGTTGATGTTTTAGGGAGTGATTGGATCTGGGGGATGGGTGTGAATTTGTCTGCTGGTTAGTTGGCTGGCTGGTTAGTTGACTGGCTGGTTAGTTGGTGTGTTTGTTTGTTCGTTGGTTAACTGGTTGGTTGGTTTGTTTGTTGGTCTGTGAATGGATTGTCTTGCTGACTTGGAACTTGACTAGCTGGGTGCTTGGAAATTGAGAGCTTGGCTAAAAATGAGTTGATATTTTAGGGGGAGACATCGGATCTAGGGATTGTTGTGAATTTAACTGGTTTACTGGTAGTTTGTCTGGCTTGATGTTTTGTTGGTTTGTTAACTGGTTGGTTTGTTTGTTGGTCGGTGAATGGATTGTCTAGCTGACTTGGAACTTGACTAGCTTGCTGCCTATAAATTGAGAGCTTGGCTAAATATGAGTTGACGTTTTAGGGAGGAAACATTGGGTCTAGGGATTGTTGTGAATTTGTCTGGTTAGTTTGTCTGGCTTGATGGTTTGTTGGTTGGTTAACTGGTTGGTTGGTTGATTTGGTGGGTTTAGCACTTGACTAGCTAGCTGCTTGTAAATCTAGAGCTTGGCCACAAATTAGTTGATACTTTAAGGAGGAGAGGTTGGATCTGGGGGATGGTTATGAATTATTTGGTTAGTTAGTTTGGAGGCTGGTTGAGTGGATGGTTTGATAGTTAGTTGGTTGGTTAACTAGTTGGTTAGTTTGGTTGGTTAATTGTATAGCTGACGGTCTCACTGACTAGCTGTCTGCTTGTAAATTAAGACCTCGTTGTTGTTTGGATGCTTCAGATTTTCTCCCGTGTTGATCCAGTTTCAAGAAAAAGAAATCCTGAATGAAAACAAAAAGTCTTGGCTTCTGATAAGAAGTCTGAACTTGGATTCTCTTTTGTTCATAAAGGTCTGTGATCGGTGTTGATCTTTCGGGATCCCAGAAAATTAGGTCATACGCACAAAGTACATCCAATTCATACTGGGACTACAAGAAAGCTATCAACCCTAACCTTCGCCCCCTTCCAATTTCCAAATAAAAAGAACAAGACCGGTTGGCTGAAAGATAAAAGCTGTAAAGTTTGGCACACAAAGAATCGGATGACACAATTTCACGTGTATCGTGGACTTTGTATGCAGTGTTTACCGCAACAAAAACCAGACGGACACAAACACTCGACGTTGTGCAAACAGCAATACTTGAGAATATAATACGGCAAAGAATAATACTATCAGAAGATAGCGCAATGCCGATAGACTACCGGCATTGCAGAATAAATGGCCGAATAATCGTTAAGTTGGGTTAGAGTTTTTAGGTTTTTTTTATTAAATAAGGTCGTTGCCAAGATTTTTTGAGGGGTATTGTTCCCTGGCGCCGGAACTTCTGAAGGGATGGGAGCTTAAATTTGCTCATTAGCCAGAACGAACTTTAGTATCAAATTTTTTTTTTTAAGTATTACATCGCCAAAAGTTTAAAAATTACTTTACAGATTGCTAATTTAGTAAAGCACTTGAAGCAAATGAAATGGAACATATATGGCAAATATTGAGAACAATATATATGACAAAAGAAGGACGTCTGTATTCCACATGGATAGAGACAGTGGTGGATTGGGGGGGGGGGGGGGCTAGAACCGCCCTTTTGGACTACAGAAAATAGGAAACCATACAGAAAACACATAAACCGCCTCTTGGCTGGTACCCCCCCCCCCCAAACCTTGATCCGCCCCTAAGAGGAAGCATTAAAGATGTTCACAGCGGCCAACGCAAACCAAAAAAAAAAAATCAACAAATGAAATTGGAAGACCGATTGAGTAGCTCCATTTTCATTAACATTTGAGTAAACAAGAACATTTAAGTTGAGCGGAATTCGAACTTGTGGCAGTCAAGTATCTTTTTCAACTTGAAAAATTCACGTAGATGGTGTGTCCTCCGTGGTATTTTCACCGGAGTAATCGTTCGGTGTCTTGTTGTCATTGTCTACAGGACAAAAGACAGCAGCTACAACGATCACGAAGAAGAGTTCTACTACACGGAGATCGAGACCACGGTGGACAGCATGTCGGACATGTTTGCCGACATGTACACCTCCTCCCCACCCCCGACCCTCAGCCACATGGACATGGTCAGACCCCCTCACGAAGACCCACGGGATAGCAACGGTAACAGCGGGATGTGTTTGGATAGGGTGGTAGCCCAGCTGACACCGATGTCGTCGAGCAATGTGACAATGGTGAGAGAATGTTGCAAGTTCTGGCAAGGGGGACATCGGGATCTATAGCCGTGTCTGAATCACTTGGCTGCGGCTGTGTTATATAACACAGGCACCTATTGAAGCCACTGGCTAGCGGCTGCAGCCACTTCCCATAGACTTGTGCGTTATTGCTAACCATAGCCAAGTGATAAGGACAAAGTCTTTTATTTATTCCCATTGGAGTAACCACGGATCCTCTACACAAGGATGAACAACTCAACTTGTGTACAAAACTGAACTTGTGTACAAAATGTACGGAAAGATTTGTCTAGAGGCGTGATATGCTGCGTCCACGCATAGAGCAACGAATAGAACATGTAGATCAATGCGTGCGCCATGATCGTCAACAACTGGCGTCCTGACAGAAATTTGATCAGTGAAAGACTGCAGTCGCTCGCCATGCTCGCGCACATGCAAGCACGATGCGCAAGTGCCATATCACGCTTCTAACCAGAAATTGGGGGAAGTCGTTTATCCTTTTGTAGAGGATCGGTGGTGTAACTGAGGTCCAGGGGGCCCTTGGGGCTTCATTTTCTGAAATTTGGGGGGGGGGGGGCAAGTTAGTGGGTTTTAAACAACAAAAAAGCCCATTTTTGCCTTCTCCAAAATTCTGGGGGAGGGGAGGCTTGAGTGGGGGATGCTCCCATTGTTATAAGTTATGCTGTGGATAATTATATAGGGCACAATTTTGAAAATAGCAACATCCTTCCAGAATTGAAATTAACTTTTTCTGATGCCACTATCTCTTGAACTTGTCGTCCTGCACAGCATAGACTTTTGCAACAATTTGTTTCCTCTTCTCATCACCAATTTCAATAAAATACTCAACAAATGGTTTGTCTTCACATGTTCAGTTTGCGCCACTTAGCCAAGTGCCACAGCAGACCACCTTCACCTGGCAGACGACTCATCCCACCACCATCACCCCCCTCCAGACAAATGGACAGGTAAGAGTTAACAACAGACACATTACCTTCTGGGAGATACCACTGGTGTCATGGGGGAGGTTTGAAGTAGTTTTGAGCATTGTCACAAATGATGCGAATTGGATTACAGACTTGATGTCCCTGAGCAGGCAACTTCTTAAGAATTGAAACAGTTTCCTAAGCACCTCGTGTCTTAACCCTACTCCCTAGGCCGTTTTGCTAGGATGTAGCCTCAATCCTGCAAACTCCTCCAATTGGCCTCATGGGAAAATAGCATGCAGCCTCAATCCTGCAAATCCCTCCATCATTTCTTGAATATGGTCCGTGGAGGGGTGACCACTGCCTGAATCCTGCAGAATCCTGCGGCAGTGACTTTCAAAATGTTGAGGCTTAGCCAGTGACATCCTGGAGCAGTGTGGAGGATTTTGAGCATTATCCAGGCCTATATTTATGCATGGCTGAGCATAAACAACACAAGGTCCAGCCCAAGACCTTGACAAAGTGCATCCTACGAAATCAGTAATGCACTTTTGCCATGCACATATAAGGACGTGTGCCCCACCTAAAAAAGTGCTTGTCATTTTGTTCACCAAATTAGTCTATGGAAACAAGAACGTTTCCTGAGCTGTAATGCTGTACATAGTGATTTAGGATTAAACCTTAACTCCCAAACTCCATCAAAATACATCCCCCCATTTTGATGGATTCGGGGGGACTTGGTCCTACAGGCCTGGTTTGACTAAGTATTGATGGAGTATGATGGACTTGGGCCTGGAGGCCTATTAAAGCATGCATTGGAAGCAGTGTGATTGATAGATTTTGGCGGACGTGGTCCAGTACTTAGTAATAGACAGTAGGGAGTTAGGGTTAATATAAGTAAACAATTTTTCCGTCATTCTTGTTTCTCAACAGTATTCATCACCCATCCGCAAAACCAGCATCGTCCAGCAGCGCCAGCAGAGCCACCAGGCGGCATCTCCAAAGACCCACCTCCACTTTGCCCCCTCCGCGGGCTCCGGCTCCGCGCCCTCCCAGGGCCACCACAACCACCACCACCCCAAGACCAGGGAAGGCAAGAAGTGTCGCAAGGTGTACGGCATGGAGCGTAAGGACCTGTGGTGTACCCAGTGCCGGTGGAAGAAGGCTTGCGTAAGATTCACCTGCTAAGAACCCTGGCACTCTAAGACGGAGTGAGAAATTGTGCACTGACCCTTGAATTGGTGTGCGTGAAATTGAGGTCAGTTAACCAGTTTGCGTCGAGGACGAGATAACACACACTGGCTGTTTTTCTTTGCGAAAATTCATTTGATATCTGGAATGATAGAATGGCAAGTGATGCAGAACTTTGCAGATGCCTTTCTCCCGTAAGACTAAGTTATCGCTTCATGTGTCTTTAAGTTTATGTATGCTGTACCAAACAAAATCTGGAATATGTGAAGCATTCGGGCAAAATGAGACAGAACTGGGCAGAGGTCGAGATTAGGGTTTGCAGGTATTAGGAAAGAGAAATACAATGCTCCTTGCAATACTGTTTGTTGCCCTTCGATCGGACATTTCGTTGCGAAGTTACGGCTGTTAAAAGTTTGCACTTATCGACATGTCCAAAACGTAAAACACTGAGGAAAAGGCATTTAAAAGTTTCGAGTTTTGTAGTTGTGAAAATGGAAGATGTCTATTGTTTTTCCCGTAAAACAGTTTTCCCCCATGATTTTTATACTATTTGTTTAAAAAATGTGTAGTAGACTATCAAGGAATACATTATCTTCCTGTACTGTGCAGAAACCTCCGTTTGAGTATACTCGCACATCGGAAATATCTGGGTTTTTTTCCCCCCCCCCCCATTTTTCTCCACTGTGGCCTTTGCCCATTTCCGTCTCATTTTGCTTGAACGCCTCACACAACTAGGAGAAGAGTAGACCAGGCAAGATTAAAACGTGGAAAATCTTGAGGATCTTGGGGATCTAATATTTTGGGGTGAAATGTTGGTCGAAACGTCAGAGAATTAGGAATCAACTTCTGTTGGAAGAATGTGCCTGGTAGTGCGGAAAGTGCGAGAGAGAAATATTGATTTATTTAATAGTATTCATAAAAAAGTAGTGCCAGAGTTTTGGTCAAAAGTAACCAATTGATACGTAATCACTTTTTAACTGTGTGTACATGTAGATGAGCCGATTTTATATACTGAAAGTATTTTGGATCGTTACAAAAGTGCATTAAGTAAGTCAGACGAAAACTAAGATGTGTATAAATACTTGTTACATCGATTTTATTTTAGATGTTTTGAAAATTTCATTTTTTTTTTTTTTTTCGGAATCGTGATTTCAGAAAGTGCCAAGCTTGGTCGAAATGAGACCAGGTCAAACAATGCAAGTGGGTTGTTGTTTTGGTTGAGATTATTAAAACTGGGTCGTTCTATACATTTGGGGTCCACTTTTTTTTCCTGTCCCTGTTGCAACTGGCGTCTAAGATTTTTTTATAATTCTGATGCAGTCGTTCTCCAAGAGTGATTATGAACAGCATATTACCTACCCAACCAAAAAAACCCCAAATTTGAAATCATTCTTAACCCTAACTTCCAAGGCATTTTTTGCTAGGATGCAACCTCAATCCTGCGAAATGCTCCGACTGCCTCAATGTAAAAATTGCATGCAGCCTCAATCCTGCAAAATCATCCGTTATTTCTTGAATGAGGTCCTTGGAGGGGTGACCACTGCCCTCAATCCTGCAAAATCCTCCAGCAATCACTGTCAATATGTTGAGGCAGAGCCAGTGACATCCTGGAGCAGTGCGGAGCATTTCAAGTATAATCTACATGTAGGCCTAAATTGATGCACGGCTGCGCATAAACAACACAAGGTCTGGCCCAAGACCTTGACACAGTGCATCTTCCAAAATCAGCCGCACATTTTTGCTATAGCCTCGGTCCTTAGGCCTGCAAAAGCCTCCATTTTGCAAAGAGGGTTTTTGAGGATTTGGGAAGTTTAGGGTTAATGATATTTGAATAGCAAATGACAAAGTAACAGGGACAGAAAAAAAGGCCACACTGTGGAAGCTAAATTGATAGAATGACATTTTTGGCCTAGTATTTGAAACCGACTGTCCATCAGTGTTCTTCAATGGAAATTTCATGCAGAATAAGGGTGTTTTTTTTTCTTACATCGAATCATACTTGTAAAATTTCATGAATTGGTAAACATTTTGTCTGTGTCTATTTTTGTAACATTTTCATCTAAATAAAAAAAAAAGAGAGAAAAAGTAGATAAAAGTCATAGAAGAATTGTCATTAAACTTCTGTAATTCTTGTTCCCTTCAAAACTGAATTAAAAGTGAAAAATGTAGGAAAAAACGTAGTTTTCAGATAAACACAACCTGAACATTTTAATCTCTTGTGCATGCATACTTGTGTACAAATTGTACTGAAGTTGGAGTATAAATATGAGAGACAAATTCCTAAGAACTTTTAAAGTGCTGTTACAAATAGAAAATTACGGAATGTGTTGTTGAAAAGTAGTCTGACATCTATAATGGTGAATATTGTAGTCAGTATGAATTTGATGTTATCAAACTTACTTCTTTTATTCTTATAATGGGTGATTTCAATTCGGAAAAAAATTGTTAATTAATTCTCAGGAACAAAAAGATGAACAGCTGCACACATGTACAAAACGTGTTCATGTACAGTAAAATCACTCAGGCGATTTCATTTTTTACTACCGAATGTTTCATATCCAATCTTCCAAACACAAACAACAAAAACAGAACTGGTGGGCAATTTTTCTCACAACAGTTTCTGCAGATGTGCCCACACATGACGCCTGCCTGTACATGCTTATTTTTGTCATGGACTTTTCATATATCATTGTAAATTTTTCTACAAATTTTAATTTTGAACTGTTTTCCGTGGGGTGGGTTATACTCCGATCATCCACTCTCGGTTCTAACAAAAACATTCATAAATGTAACTTTTTCAATATCTTGGAATTTTCCCATGAACGCAAAATGGGGTAAATTTTCATTATTTTTTTTCTTTTGCTTTTGATCAAAATTCTAAAATTTTCTGTCTGAAGATTGCCTTTTGAATCATAACTTAACATTTTCATATCTAAAGAATGTCAATTTTTTTTAAAATCTGACACCAGAGAAAGTGGCATAATTAACCACAAATCATTATTTTTACAAACAAATAAACGTGTTTCTGACAAGTATTAATTATCATAAATTGGAATTCTTTAACTGCATGATGCTGCTCTTTTTTTTTTCAAAATCAGGGATTTTATCAAAACTTTGCTGGAGTCTATTATCTGACTGCAATGTGACGTGCGTAGAATATTTTTACTGCTTTGTTTCAAAACTTGCAAAGGAAATGGTTAAGTATTACAATATTTAGATTAATTTATGTAAAAGCTGAAAACAGTGCTTATTTCAAAATCTTTATTTCAGTTCTCGGAATATTTACTTCAATTTTCACATTTTTTTTTGAATTCAGCTAGACTTACAATTTCAAGCCCATTTTTCAATTTTGTTTTAATAATTTTGCTAAATCAGAGGAGATTAAAAAGATATTTGTTTTATGCATGTATAAACTTTTAAATAATTTCTACAGTTTAGTTGTTCATCCCATCAAGATATCTCGAATTCAACTTGTTTTGATTTTTGTAACCAAAGTTTTTTGTTGAGAAAAGTTAACTCGAACATTTTAAATAATTAGGCTGAGATTGTTTCCATTTTTATTCAAATATTCATTTGAGATTTGTAGACAATGCACTACCAAGTTGGTATTTTGTAGCAAAATGTTAGTTTTTGATGTAAATTTCTGAAGTACATAGTAGTGGCAAAAAAAAGTGTATTTTAAAATCATAAAATAAAAATGCCTTTGTTGTAAGAAAGTTTACTCACATTTCAAGGACATCATATATGAAGGATTTCTTTTTAGACATTGAAGGTTTTTCAAGTGTTCAAATGACGGCAAAATGTACAGTCATACTTTAGAAAGAAAAAAGTATTGTAAATACACTTCCTACATGTGCATCATCCAAGAAGGGATTCTAAGTAGATTTTTTTTTCATTCTCAAAATTGAGAAATATCAGTGTTCAACTTCAAAAATGTAGTCATACTTTAGAAAAAAGAAAAAAAGTATTGTAAATAACAAATTTGTATATTAAGTTGTACAATAAAAACGAAAGAAAAAAGTGTACATACAAATGGCTCTTTAAGGTCAAAACATCTCAAATAAAGGTTAAAAACCAAAGAAAACAAAGAAAGTATGTTCATAAATTAGTGCTTCTGTTGCTGTTGTTCTGATTTTAAAAATGCAATGAAATCTTGTGTAAACTTTTGGAATGGTGTGTTGCAAAATGTCTTTGAATCATCATTGATAGTGGGGTGCTGTGGTCCAGTGGTTCGAATCCTGACTGGGGGAACATGGTGCTTGTGCTCTTGAGCAAGGTGCTTTACCATTATTGCTTCGTCCTTCGGATGGGACGTAAAGCCGTAGGTCCCGTGTGTTGTGTAGTGTACGTTAAAGAACCCAGTAACACTTGTCGCTATTTGCCCCAGTGTTTCTGGCAGTGGTGTACATAATGGGTCTCGTATGTTCATAGTTCATTTACCTGTCTTTGGTTGCATTCTCCCAAGCGCTTTGTGTCCTTTGGAAAAGGGGCAATATAAATACGGTTATTATTATTCCTACAAATGTACCATTAGGGAGACACGTTATTGTAATTTCTTCGACAATAGGGAGACTCTGGTCATTAGGCAGACATTTTTATGTCTCCCTAATTCCACAGCCCCCCCCTTTAGAGGCAAAATTTTACTGTCGCAATCAGGTTATATTTGTTGCTCGTGGTCTCATTAGTAAAAAATACCGAAATTCGTGGAAAAAGGACAAGGGAATATTGGGTTAGGGCACATTTAAGTTTGAAAAATTTTGTGCACAAGTCTATGGGAATGTCTCCCAAATGACCCATTCCCGGTAATAGTTATTATTATTATTATTATTGTAGCGGTACGCAACTCAACTCTGGCCGAAGGTTTACAACTTTCTTCATATTTGTGCCTGTTCTGAGTAAATACATGTAGTTTTTCAAAATTTTCACAACACGTAATTTTTTTTGTATTTTACATCAGAAACTGCAAAAACTATGATGCGTAATTTAACACAGTCTGAACATTATGAAAGCTTAACTACTTGACATTTGCTTTTCTGCACAAATTCCTCAATTTAACATTGAGAGTTTTCAGTGGAAGTTCTAACTCGCCCATGACCACAAATCGTCATTCGTCTCTCGTTAATTTCTTCAGTTCGTCCTCCACCGTCTCCACAAACGCAGGGAACGTTGGGTCGGCGAGGCAGAGCCGCACCATCTCAGAGAGTTGCTCAGGCTGCCAGGACGATTGGTGGTGGTGGTAGGCAAGGGGGAGGTCCAACGTCTTGCTGCCTAGTAGAACCTGTCAAGAGGATGAAGTTTAGTGTTGAGTTGGGGTATGGGTGAGTTAGGATCAGCGTTGTATTGGAGTCAATCACAAGTTGGTCACAAGTCAATCATAAGTCAATCCCGAGTCAATTACGAGTCAATCAAAAGTCGATCACGAGTCGATCACACGTCGATCATAAGTCAATCCCGAGTCAATCCCGAGTCAAACACAAGTCGATCACGAATCGATCACGAGTTGATCACAAGTCGATCACGAGTCAATCACGGGTCAATCACGGGTCGATTACGAGTCGATCACAACTCGATCACAAGTCAATCTAGAGTCGATCACAAGTCAATCACAAGTCGATCATGAGTCGATCACGAGTCGATCACAACTCCATCACAACTCCATCACAACTCCATAACAAGTCCATCACAAGTACATCACAAGTACATCACAAGTCATTCTTACAACAATCACAAGTTGATCACAAATCGATCTCAAGGCGATCACAAGTCGATCACAAGTCAATTGCAAGTCGATCGCAGGTCGATTGCAAGTCGATCGCAAGTTGATCGCAAGTCGATCACAAGTCGATCGCAAGTCGATCACAAGTCGATCACGAGTCGATCACAACTCGATCACAACTCAATCACAACTCGATCACAAGTCCATCACAAGAGAAGAAGAACATAGATCCGGCAATGCCTTTGTCACTTGTCACTTGAAAAGTTTGTCCCCAGACTCCAGACTGGATGACGTGTGACTGGTCAGTCACACGTCATCCAGTCTGGAGTCTGGGGACAAACTTTTCAAGTGACAAGTGACAAAGGCATTGCCGGATCTATGTCCTGGCTGCCAGGACGATTGGTGGTGGTGGTAGGCAAGGGGGAGGTCCAACGTCTTGCTGCCTAGTAGAACCTGTCAAGAGGATGAAGTTTAGTGTTGAGTTGGGGTATGGGTGAGTTAGGATCAGCGTTGTATTGGAGTCAATCACAAGTTGGTCACAAGTCAATCATAAGTCAATCCCGAGTCAATTACGAGTCAATCAAAAGTCGATCACGAGTCGATCACACGTCGATCATAAGTCAATCCCGAGTCAATCCCGAGTCAAACACAAGTCGATCACGAATCGATCACGAGTTGATCACAAGTCGATCACGAGTCAATCACGGGTCAATCACGGGTCGATTACGAGTCGATCACAACTCGATCACAAGTCAATCTAGAGTCGATCACAAGTCAATCACAAGTCGATCATGAGTCGATCACGAGTCGATCACAACTCCATCACAACTCCATCACAACTCCATAACAAGTCCATCACAAGTACATCACAAGTACATCACAAGTCATTCTTACAACAATCACAAGTTGATCACAAATCGATCTCAAGGCGATCACAAGTCGATCACAAGTCAATTGCAAGTCGATCGCAGGTCGATTGCAAGTCGATCGCAAGTTGATCGCAAGTCGATCACAAGTCGATCGCAAGTCGATCACAAGTCGATCACGAGTCGATCACAACTCGATCACAACTCAATCACAACTCGATCACAAGTCCATCACAAGAGAAGAAGAACATAGATCCGGCAATGCCTTTGTCACTTGTCACTTGAAAAGTTTGTCCCCAGACTCCAGACTGGATGACGTGTGACTGACCAGTGATGGCCTTGTGAAGACTTTATTGCAAAATCCAATTTGTGTAAAATATGTTCTTGAGTTACCGTAGCAACAGTTCCTAAAGAAACTTCGCCCTCCAGAATCGTTTTGTCCGCTGCAGGCTTCTGATTAATTTGAAATGAAAAAAAAAAACCCATCTTACAAATTGTAAAAGACATTGGAAGATCATTTACTCATATATTGGCTTTTCACTGATGACTGAGGTCCAATGGCTATGTATCTTATAGTCATAAGATGTTTACAAGATCATCAGCATTCTAAAATTGGAAAATGATGATATCTTCATTTGATATGTTTTTTTTTCACCTGTAAAACGGCATGGCGCACCTGTGTCGTGTCGGCACCCTCCTGCTTGACATGGAAATACGTTCTCAGATTGACGACGCAGTCCGCGCAAGCCTCAACAGTCGACGGGAACGAACCTTGCTTGAACTTGACTCGGAACTTCCTGCATTCATTCTGCTTAGGCCAAAAAAAATAAATAAATAATTCTGCGTCCGGTCACCCTACATACCCTATTTTGACAGCCTCTACCCTAATTTGGGAAAATATTACTTTGGAAATGGTAAAACACAGTGTCCTCCAAAAACAAATATGGTACACATTTAAAAAATCAACATGCCAATGATTTTCCTTTTCAAAATGGACATTGTCTGGTTTTGAAATTAACATTCTATTTCAAATTCCATTGACTATTTCAGATTAGCGATTAATTCTATTAATTTTCTGCAAAGGTGGAAACCATTGGCCCCAATGGTAGGCCCTACTATAAGGCCCCCCCCAAAAATAGTTCTGCTTCCGATTAGCCTACATAGCATTTGAAAATAGGGTAGGTAGGTAGGGAATTTTTTTTGTGTACGATCATATGGAGGTGTCTGCGTGTAGTCAAGGGTAAAAGGTAGTAATTGATGATTTTCTGGGGTTTTTCCCCTCATTTTTACCCCCCCCCCCAAAAAAAAAACAACCCACAAAAAACAAATGAGGGTAGGGGCTGGCAAAATAGGGTAGGTGGGGTAACCGGAAGCAGAACTTTTATTGTTTTGGGCCTAATGGCGTCCAATAAATAATTGCAAACCTTAATTTTTTGGATGAACAGCAAGCAATCTCCTCTGACTGCCCCCTTTATGTAGTGCTCGGCATCAAAAAGTGCATGACTCTCCTAAAAAGATAAACAATATCAGTTTACTGCAGTAAATTCGGGGGGAAAAGGAATGCATAACACACAAAAACCAAGGTCAAGAAATACTATATTTCATCTAGTATAGCCAAAAGGGCAATTAGACTTTCATGTACATGTATTTTAATTAAATCTCATATGACAAAAGTACACACCAAAAACAATTCAAAGAAAGCTAGGGGGCCTATGTCAAATATATTTTGTCGCATTCTTGAACCAAAAACCATTGAAAATTGGGAAAATTTAGTCACTGTACCTGGCTTTTTTGGGGGGACCTAGGGAGCTAGAACTCCTTTTTTGAAACTTTTGGCTTGGATCGGTACTAGCCAAATAAAAAAAATTCAAAAAAAAATGGAAGTTCAAATCAAGTGCCCCCGTTACTATTTTTTTGGTGAAAATTTGGAACATCTTTGTTTCTTACAAGGATAAGCTTGCCTCTGGTGATGAGAAGATAGCTGGAATCTTGAATGGACAACATCAATGGCTCGGCGTCAGACCAGGGAAAATGCTAACATCGCAGAGAAAGAGTGAATCAGTGATAACAAAAACGGACACAGGCTCACAGCTTTTATCATATCAATTGAGGGAAACATAATTTTCTAAGTACAAATTAGTTTTACGACAAGAATGAATCTCAAAAAGCGCCTGGGGCTTGAAAGAAACAGTGGAGACCTTTGTTGTTTCCCTAAACTAGTACAGAATTGACCTATATAAAATGATATGCATGTTGTAGGATAGGCCTACTTTCACGAAAACTTGTTTTGTACTGCAGTGCAGCACAGGCGCGTGCGCGTAGTGATAAGTTGCAAAGTTATTGGGCCTGGCTAGACCAGTAAAGTTTTACAACTTAAAACGCACTTTGTAAAATCCAACGCAATCGTTGTCTAAACATTTAAAAGACAATAAAACTTACCTTCCACGTTCCTGCTTGTGTCGAGGCTTCTTGCTGTTCTTTGCCACCAGTTTTGGCCGCGTCATTCGAACGAACAAACCTCGCATATCGGAGCAAATGCCACTCGCTTCGCTTCGAGTTGAGCGCCATGATTTGTGAACAGCGCCCTCTTGTGATATTTAGTAAAAAAATTGGGTGTGCCAGCGCCACAGCGATGTAAAAAGTTGTTATACCAGTATAATGAAGGAATTAAACAGCTGATAAAGTTTTTTTTTTATTTAATGGTTGAGTTTTCATATACTTTACTCATATACTTTATATAAAAGGTTCTTAAAAAACCCGTTTTATGAGTTGTTTATTAAGTTTTCTTTCTTCATGTACGCTTGGTTTCAAACAAAATGAAATTTTTTTTATCTGAAAGTCAACCGGGGTGTTTCACACAATAGTGGCGTCTCAAAACAAGACTTTTTTCCCGTTTGGCACAAAATTGCAACATCTTATATCGGCAGCGTAATATAGTTTATTATGATAACGGAATTATAATAGATATGTGCAAAATGTATTTCAGTTTTTACACATTCAAAAGGCATATATACGATCCCAACTCCTTGTTCGAAACAAAATATTTGTATTAAAAATATCAATTAGAACTATGCCATACCGTTCATAGAAATATATACATACATGTACATACACCAACACAATAGCTACTTTCTCTTAATTAAACTATCAAGATTATACATTTCTGTTTATATTTCATTAAGATAAATCATATTTTTTTGCTAAACAGCTCACATGAAATAACTTACAAAATTTTAAAAAAAATACTTATATTTCCCACATCTTATTAGTTGGGCTTTTGTCAAAAGACGGTGTTCAACATTTGCATGGAATAACATTATACTTCTAATATAAGTTGGGGTTATTTTTGTGGTACTTGTCACACTTATTAATCGGGTCCCAATCTAGGGATAGCTTCAGCTTAATTATCTTCATAGTACAAAATATATCATGCATAATTTTTTTACTGTTTTCCTCAAAAACATATAAGCTGAAACTTCAACATCATAATTTCACATACATCTGTCGGTTTCACAACCCGTTGCGATATTCATATTGTGGATTGATTTGACCAGTATAGACCTAATAATTATAATTTTATGATATAGGGAATTATTTTAACAGCAACAAACATTATTACCACCCTTCTCACCATTTTAAGGAAATCTAGTCCCACATTTCGTGTACAGGTTGACCCCAAAAAATGCAACCCTAAAACACTTGCCTTAAAAAAAGGGACCGGTGGATTTTTATGTTTTAGGTATCAGATTAAAGCTGAGAGCTTTTTCTTTCAAATACTGAGAAAAAAAATCGTGAAAATAACACTTAAAGCTGTTGAGAAAATGCCAATTATGGAAAAGTAGTCATTTGTCATCCTGTACACAAGTACTTCAAACAGTGAAACAGTTTACTGTAAGCCTACTGTGCAATTATCCTTCATTTGTGCGATGTCTTTAATATTTTGACATATTTATGATGCTGAAAAGGTTTAAAATAGAACTAAAAAGGATGAGTTACCTGTTCAGGTGGACAATTAAAGGTATTTCCATTAAACTCATTTGTATCTTGTCATATTGTGTGCAGTGTTGTAAGGATTAGGGCATGCACAAATATAGGTACAGTGAAAATCCCTTACTGTGGTACTTTGTTGCTTACAGGATGAAAAATGACTACTTTTACATAATTGGCATTTTCTCGGCAACCCAAAGTGCTATTTTCATGATTTTTCAGTATTTGAAAGAAAAAGCTCCCAGCTTTAAAATGATACCCAAAATATAAAGATCCACCGATCCCCTTTTATAAAGTGTTACATTTTTTAGGGGGGTCACCCTGTATAGGCCTATATTAAGTAACATTCGAATACACGAAAACATGGACTGCCAAACTTTTTTCTCGAATCAAACTTTTTTTTGTCGAGCATCTAACCATGCGTGCACGGTCAAAAATCGATTGCCCAAGCATTTCGGACCACGTCCAAAGGATACACAAGTCATGTGCGTGAAAAAAACACACAGTGAAGTTGGGCCTTGTTCGGTAGTGTATTCGTTAATTTCTCGACCGATTTCAAAGTTTCACTGCCAATACATTTGTCTCTCCCTCGGCCGGTATTTGTGCTGGTTACGTTGCCTCCGAGTCACGTTGTAACAGCACCACGTGAACAACGCGAACAAGATCAGAATAGCCAGTGCTCCCAACGCCACAAAACCTAAAAGTTTGGAGGGGGAAAAATCATTTTCATTACAAAAAAGTATAACATAGATCCTGTTTTGTTTTTATATAATGCACCAGGGTTTGTGACTCATGATCAGTAAGCATTAGAGGGTCAGGGGTTCGAATCCAGCTGCTGGTCATATGCTGTGTCCTTGGGCAAGCCACTTCCTCCCCACTTGCCTCTCTCCGCCCAGGAGTATAAATGGGTACCGGCATTAGCTGGGGAGTATACCTGCGATGGACTGGCATCCCATCCAGGGGGAATATTCTCAGTCGTTTCATGCTACTGATAAACCGGAGATGAACGCCTGCCTTAGTTTTAATGGACCACATGGGCTCGTAACAGACTTGACTGCGGTTTGAAAATTAGCATCGTGTGAAATTGTCGGTGAATACTCTTGAAAAACGACCTTGAAGCAATTTGATGTCTATAAAGAGTTTGCACAAAGCGCCCTCATTGTGGGCAACGGATATTGTCATTTGAATTCACAGACAATAAAAGTACAGAGTGTCTACTCCTGGGCATCACAGATCAAAGAACTGCCCAAAATGAGGGCGCCCCATAGTCTTTGCAAGCTTTCTATTCAGATAAATATTTTTTGTTTTCATGTCCGTTTTTTTGTGTGTTTTATATACGTACCGGCCAAGTATCCCGGTTGCTGAAGCAACCCGCATGGCTGTTCACCGCAGTCAGTTGCTACATTAAAATTGGAAAGTTTGAAAGAAGTAAAAATTATTAAATAATCTGTCTTTGTTTCAAAAAATTAGTCTGTCAGTTGGTCGGCCGGTCGGTCGGCGTGTCGGTCGGTCAGTCAATTAATAAGTAATCAATAAATCGGTCATAAATCTGTCAATCTCAGTCAGCGATTGATCGATCAGTGTTATAAATTGATCCCTCGATTATGACATTTTGTAATCTATCAATCAACAAGACAAGTCTTTATTCAAAATTTCCGCAACTTGTGATTTTTTTTGGTATCAACTCGGCTCATCAAAGTAAATGCTTTCATTAGAAACACTAAGATAGATGTAGCATATCACTAATGGGGATATAGCTCAGTGGTAGAGCGCTCGCTTCGCATGCGAGAAGCCCCGGGTTCGAATCCCGGTGTCTCCAGTTTTGGACAATACCTTTTAAAACAAAAACATCATTTAATAATTGTTAATAATTAAAACTGGAACAGTGTGAGATTTGAAATTGTAGTAGCTTTACGTTTCTTTTCGCTCTTCTGATAATGACTGCATTAAAATTTGTTCAGCGAATGTGTACTGTTGATTTTGTTGATAGAAAATTTGGTTTTAGAAAATATGTGGAGAAAAACTTACAAGAGACATATAACGCGGTCACCACTATGATGCCTACGATCACCCCAACAGCTAACAGCAGTAGGATGACGAAACAACACCGATTGCAGATATCGGCCATGGACACCCTGTTGCCATGGTAATAGCGCCTCGACGGGGGGTCCCACTCCCTAGAAGGCGGCGGGTAATTCCTCATGTCGTCCTCCATGGGGCGTAGTATCTGCTCCACTTGGGGTACAATGGGAGGCGACCAGGGCGGCGGCTCACCCCGGGCGGGTAATGTGCGTTCCTCGCGTGGTTGCCTTCTCTCCGATTCCTGGCGTCTTGGTGGTTCGTCTTGGGGTTCCCTTGGTCGCTCTGCACCGCTCAGTTCAGCCACGACCCTTCGGTAGTTAACAGCCAGGCTTTCGCTGCGTGTCACCGCCTGGCCGGAGGAGCGCTGAGACCAAGGTGCCACGGCTTCCCAGTTCCCGTGGGTCATGGTGGCGCTGTCTTCCCGACCGTCTCCGATCTGGATGAACCGGTCGTCTGTCTCTGCCTCGTCTTGCTCAACAGGCTCGCTGACGTCTTGCACAGTGACGTTCGTCTGTGTGCTCATGTCTCGAAGAACCTGGGCTTCTATTTCTTGGCTGTCATCAACTTCGAGTTGTTCCATCTCTTGCTGGTCTTCTTCTTCTTCGGCCAGGGTGTGAAGAGCCTCCAGTTGAACCTGAACCTCCTTCGATTCTAGCTGGACGTCTTGTTGCTGTGGCAGATAGCTCGGGGGTTCGTCTTGACTCGCCACTGCGCGTGGTATCACCATGGGCTGATCTGGTGGCGGCGGGGGTCGCGGCGCGAACGGCGGCGGCTCCGAGCGTATCGGGTCCGCTACCGGTTGCGGGGCTGACCGGAACTTATTCACCGATGAATAGATGGCTCTGTCTCCCCTCGGGGCCTCCTCGGCTCTCCTTGGCGCGGAGTCGTCCACGCTGACATCATCAGCACCTTCGCCACGATCTGATTCGGCCTCTTCGCTGTCACTACTCTGCTCCGTGCTGTCAATGCCATCTTCGGCTGTTTCGTCAAAACCCCGGTTGACATTATAAGTCCCCGCCATGGATGGCCCCGACAGGAGGACATCCATGTCCACACCAGCCATTGGGTTAATCTGGAATTCATAATCCTCCGCGGTCAGATCGAACTCATGGTGAAAACGCGGGGCCATCGGGTTACGTAAGCCCCGGTTCTTCGGATCGGGAAAGGACATCTCCGAAGTCACCTTCGGTGCCCCCTTCATGAAGTGCCGCATGCTGATCTCGGTATCATACAAGCTCTTGGGGTGGCGAGGATTGCGAGCAAAGCCGATGACTCTGGGCTCTGGGTTCCTACGTCTTGGCCCGGCGCCCGGAGCATTTGGGAAATAAGACTGACTGTTAGGCCGGAGCCCGCCCAGGCTTCTACCAGCAGCCGCCCTGATGTACCGACCGGTTGGCGAGCCATGCCGTCCGCCGGCTTTCTCCCGTTTCTTCCCGCTGTATGTGTGAGGTCGTCTCGGTGAGCGAGGTACGCGACCAACAAACTCCAAATCGCCCTCCTGAAAACCCGAAGGCTCCTGGAAATTAAACACAATGCTTCATAATTCACAAAAATCTACCCTTTCTTAAGGGTTGTTTTCTTCATGGTATAGACCATTGTCATGTTGCGGCCATCTTGATTTTTTCCCCATTCAAAGCAATGTAACCAAAGCGAGGCTGGAAGGAAAATAGTCTGGTTGCTTTTTGCACATCATCCATTTTCATTCAGTACTCTTATTGGTTACAGGGAGCATGACTGACATGTTGGCAGAATGATAAAGGTATATTCAGTAGAGTTGTAACGAGTCACTGATTTTTGTGACTCGAGTCGAGTCGAGTCATTTTAAAGAAGTGACTCGAGTCGAGTCGAGTCATTAGGTCAAGATGGTCGAGTCGAGTCGAGTCAAATATTTAGCTCGAGTCCATTCAAGTCAAGAATATTTTAACACTATTTACCAAAATGTATAAAAGGAGGGCATACATTTAGCCGGCGTTCGAATCCAAGAGGCTTTATAAGAAATCGCCCAAAGCCAATGATGAAACAACGAATTGGAAAATGTGTTTAAAATCCGGTTTCTGAATAGTATTTTGTGCGTTCCAGAACCATAAGGTGGGAGTCTGTGACACGTTGTATGTTTGTAAATGAACATAAAATTCGCACCGAAAGTCATTGCAAATACTTTTCGCAAAATTTTGCTTTTATTTTTGGGACTCGAGTCTTATTAGCATTCGCTCGAGTCGAGTCGAGTCTTTTGATGAGGGACTCGAGTCGAGTCGAGTCATTTGCTTGCAGTGACTCGAGTCGAGTGGAGTCATTTACCCCTAGGGACTCGAGTCGAGTCGAGTCACCAAAAATGTTGACTGAGTCGGACTCGAGTCGAGTCATTGACTCGAGTCATTACAACTCTGCGATTCAGTTAATGAATGAGTCCACTCTCAACTTCAAAAGTAATAACATTTGTAATTGTGTAGTCTATGTTGCAAGAGAACCGTTATACAGGGTGTCCAAAAAAGTTGTGCAAGCAGATATCCTTTAATTTCTCAAAAACTGCTTAACATGAGTATTTCATCTTGATGGAGCATATTAATTATACTCTTGTTTATGATCAGTGGAAATGCCATGGAAATCCGTTCATGCAAACCAGAGATCTAACTGTTTGTGAAAGGCTATGGGTTTTTCATCCATTCCAATGGGATTTACACAGTTGACGATATCAGTACATCAGATTGTCACGGGCCTTTTCACTCTGATGTAAATTAAGTCCCATCCCACTGGAAATTGGTGAAAAACCCATGACCTTTTATAATTTGTTAGATCTCTGGTTTGCATGAACTGATTTCCATGGCATTTTCACTGATGCACAAGCGTATAATAAAAGATGCTCCATCAAGGTGAAATACTCATGTTAGAGGGAATACACAACATTTGCAAACATCGAAAAACAAAACTACCAAATGTTTACAAAATATCTTACTAGGATGTTGATAAATGATGGTCCAAAGCATCCTGTAAAAGTATGGCACCTGGTGTGAAGTCAATTTCAAGAAAAGTGGTATTTTTGGATAAATTTCCAACAGTGGTCGGCCGACCACCGTTGGAAAAACCTAACTATTTTTTCAACTACTGCTCCAAATTCAACATTTTTCAGTCCAAATTTTGTTTGCTATTGATTGCATGTTCATGAGCGGGTATGGTGCAGGCCACCTAGACTGGTCCCTTACCTTACAGTTTTGTGGCATATATAAATTGATTTATTTCATCTTTAGTGGCGTCAGGGAACCAGACTACTTGAACAATATTTGATCTATTATAGTAACCCCTCAAATAGTTAGTTTCTGAAAATTACAGCAAAAGCCAATGATGTACATTCCCTTTAAGTAGTTTTTGCAAAACACAACTTTTTTGGGGACACCCTGTAGTCTGGTTCCTGGACCTGACGAGTCTGATCTATTCCCAGGTCAGGTTGCTGCCGCTATCACGTGATTGATTAAGTCACCGGGAGGAATTCCTTCAAATAAAGTCGAAAATATTCTCTCATTTAAGTATTTTATCAAAATGTTTTTACATTTTAGACTATACGGCGTTTGTAAATGGTAGAACTTTCACCCCCCAAAATCTAGGAAATCTTTTCTTTTGTGTGTGTCTGTCCTTCCTCGAATGGCGGAGCTTTTGGTGAAAAGGAAACTCATGAAAAGAGTGGAGTGTTTGGTGCGATAGAAAATAGCTAACTATAGGTGAATGGCAACGCCCCGCGGATAAAGGTACATTTCACTGCACTGAAAAAAAGTCTTTTGAAAACGTGGCCAGACATTGTGCGTTTTTTTTTCTCTACAAATTTCTCAACACTCAAATTTAATGACGCATACCAGTAAAAGGTCATATTATATGGGTCATTGATGAAGTTGTGATAAATTTGACGGTTTTTGACGTACATTTGACAATGATTGAAGGTTTAGAGGCATGTTTTTGGTCGCTGTGAGTCGACAGGTTTTTCGTAGTTTTATGTTGATCTGTTCATTTGTGTGTTTGTAAAATAATAATATTATTATGATTATTTGTATAATTTTTTTTTTAATTGTCACAAACCTCAATGTTACAGTCTTTCAGCACTAAAAGTTGCCGGAATGTTGGATATTAATTTTGCTGTCGTAATTTTTTTGTTCTTTGGTGATTCGTTGTCATGTCAGTACATGGCAGTCAGCCAGTGAGCAAACTTTTCTCACAAATGTTTTCAAGGAGAAAATATTTGGGCTCACATTTTGAACAGAAAACCCATAAGGCCAAAAACAAAAAAGTCTCCGGTTTCTGGTATGCGCGCGCGTCGCCGTAGCCATGCGCGTCGGCAAAATGAAATTTTTTTTTTTTCAATGAAAGATGATGTCTCAAAACCGCCAAACTCACTGGTTTAACTGGAATCATGCTGCTGCACAATTCTAACGTGTTTTTAGATTGGGTTATGGTCGAAAATAAGCTTTATGTGGCCTTTCTGGACTCCCATATATTTGCACTAAGTTTAGTCGGGCACCATTTGCAGTCATCAGCCGAAATTTGAAGCAAAAAAATCCGGTAAAAAAAAAAAAAAAAAGCCGCGTCGCCGCACCACTTTTTGGGCAAGCTCCATACCAGAAACCGGAGACTTTTTTTTTTGGCCTAAACTATTCCTGATAGTAATGAAATCACAGCAACAGCGCCCCCAGTTGTCCAGAAAAGCATGGGATTAAAAAAAAATGTTTACAGAAGTGCACTTTTCAATAAAATTAACTAAAAAGGGATGTCAACTATTTTTCATACATTTGAAAGGAGTAGAAAGTTGCACAAAATGTGTCCCTCAGAAAAATTCATCTCACATGAACCCTAATATAAATACAGATTTGACGCTGCATGGAAATTCTAAAGTACCTGTAAGGCAAGAGCGTTTATTGTGCACTTTTCTATACTTGAATGGGTAGACTAAATCTTTTATAATATTTTTCCATGGACAGACATCAGAAATACGACCGACCCGGTTACGCCGGAATGGTTTGTTTCAAAGGTTTGAAAAAAAATCTGCATTTTGCAGGTTCATGGACAACACAGTCGTTCATCTGACTTGCACTGCAGGTATTAGTGATCCGTGGGAAAACAATTTTTTCATGCCCGGTGTTCCATGAAATATGAACTCCTTAGTTAAAGGCATCCGACTTATTTGACTCCTATTTATTTCTGCACTGAGGCATGCGGGGTGGGGTGTGAACGAACCCGTACGGTAGTTTATGGGATTCGAATGTAATTATACACGACACCGGTTTCGAACCCACAACTTGCTGCCTGTGTGTGCAGTTTTACCAATACCCAGAACCACACGTACTCACAAAAGAGATTTACTCACATGGTGCTACCGCAAATTTATCTTGTCTTTTCACTCATCTTGTCTTAATACCCACTGAGTTTGCTGTGATTGGTCGCCGATTCGAATCCAATGTAATCATTGGCCGATCCAGGGAGGGGGCGCAACGGGGGCCACGCCCCCTCCAAAAAAAAATCAGAGAAGTGAAAACGCTTTTTTTGTCTTAAATTTTTAGGAGATAAATTAAAACGTTGCCTACCTCCCTTGCAAGCCGTCCGCTACACATATATTTCAGTTTTAATATCACAATGTGGAAAAAGCGCACCATACTATACTTAATCCCCTTTCCCATTTTGAAAAAAAAAAATACTCGAGCCTTCGAGCCCCCTCCCCGAAAATTTCGTTCTGGATCCCTTGAAAATAATGTCTTTTGGTAACATACATGTGGTTTTTTTTTTACACCGTACCATCAGTGTTATTTTCTCAAATTTATGTCTAATTTGCGAGACCTGTACCCAAATTGCAGTGTTGGGTAGTCAATTTTGTTCGGATATCTTTACCTGCTTTCTCAATCTGACACCCGGCTCGTCATGTCCTATTTGAATGCGGATATTTGACTGTGGATATTATTAGATATCCTGTTCGAATGTGTTTTTTAGTCCTTACTAGATCTTAACTAATACACTTTAAAGGTATCTCTGATATTTTTGTTATCCAATGTAGGCAGTGGCGTACAAGGGTAAAACGTTGGGGGGGGGGGCACCGAGGGTGCGCACATTTTTCAAGGGGGGGGGGGCTGAAGGCAAAATAATATATTATTTTTGTTGAATTCAAGGTTTTAAATGGGGGCACCCAAGAAGGGGGGGGGGGCATGTGTCCCCCTGTTATGTGCCCCCTCCCCCGTAGTTAATGTAGGGCCACCGTAAGAACTGCGCAAGTTATGGGAAAGTTTAGAAAACCTTTCAAGTTTTCCGCGCGACTCAGCCCCAAACTTTACGAATGCTCAACGCCATTGTGGAACCTTTCGGTTATTTTTAATAACGCGCAGATTAATTATTATTGTCACCCGAACACGTCACTGCGTTCAACGAAAATTGAAATATAGGTGGTACCTTCCATAAACATAATAAGACATACATTCTCTCATTGTTCGCTATTGTCGTATGACGTGAAGTAAATGAACGTCCCTGAACTGCAATTGGGCAGAATCAACTTTGAACTTCGTCAAGGCGGTGCCACAAAATAATCACACAAAACTCGCATCTCCAACAACAACAAAACTTCCCCCGCCCGGCATACGTGACTAATGGCTAAATCCTGTATTACCGGTGCTTGAAACCAACAAGTGTGAAACGCGCCATTATTTAGTACATGCCAATACTCACACAAAACGACTAGGGAAGACAAGGGCAGAATACTTTCCCCTTTTCAATTATTTCCCCGCCAAAACTGTCAAAAATCTCGCCATAAAAGTTCTTTTCTTACCTCCAGGATGACACTGAGCGACATGACAGTCCCCTGCCGGTCTCAAGTTTCTCAAAAACTTACTCCAAAACTCTGGAACCAAGAAAATTATTCCCCGTTCCGAGAGGCGCACGTAAACGGAGCCACACTCAACATGATCTCGTGTACTAACGCATAACTCCACAACGAGAAAACAGCACTTTTTTTTGACCTAACTTTTCCCCCCAATGCCTTCGCACTGGTATGCCAAGTTTTTCATTCTTCTTCGCCTTTCAATTTGGCTTTGAATACGTTACCCTGAACGGTTCAGTGGGTTTGGGGTTTATACGCAAACAAACAATATCGTAATTTTTTTTCCTATCCTGTTTTTCAACTTCACGCCCACTAAATACCGTGCCCGCTCCACTGCAAAGAAAAGAATCTCGGTAAGAGCTTGTTCAAGGCTGTTTGTCAAAACTTCACAGTGACATTTTTTTTTGTATTCAGTTGAATTTCGGATTTATTATTTATAAAAACAATAGGCAGTATTGAAGGATTGTTATCAGATAATTCGGTTTTCAAGGTCAATATTCAGATCATATACTGTAACTTAGAAACAGTGGAATCTAAGCAGACATTTCAAATTTAGAATTTTTTTTTTGCAAAACTTTGGTATGGCTTTTTTTGTTCAGTGAGTAGGCGCAGTGTGGGCACCTGTGACCTAGCGCCTTAATGCACTATTGAATACTATGTGCAAGCACCGAATCAGTTTCAGTACATGTATCGAAGCTATTTTTAATAGGTCCTTTATTAAAAAGAAAAAGAAAAAAAGATAGGCTTCGTATTATACTGTGGAATTTTGACTGAACAAATGTTGAGCACAGTGGCGTGTTTTTTTGTGCGGGGAGGGGGGGGGGGGGCGGGGTTAAAAAGCTTACAGTTCAAAGCACCATAGAGGACAAAAGTCAGGCAAGGGTAACCGCCTCGTTTATTCATTTATTATATCGAGACAAGTTTTATTTGACCTCTGAAATAATAAAAAAGGATTTGATTTGTGTTCCAAAAACACCCCCCTATTCTTCCTGTTCAGCCATTATACCATCACATCACGTGTTGCATACGCAGATGTGACAAGAGTGAGTGCGCCCTCGTCGTCCAACTGCAGCCATTCAAAGATGGCGACTTCCACTTGCTACAAAAACTTTACCATCCAATTCCAAAACATTTTGTTTTGACTGCCCTTTAATTAGAGCTGTATTTCAACACTTGTTTAGATTGAGATAAACCATCAATCGTCATGAATGAAGAGGACTTCAGCAAGGCGGAAATTGACGCCATTGAGGCGGCCTGCAAACGGATTGAAAATATGATGAAGGTGGGCGTGAAAAATAAATAGGACATGTAGGAGTTCCTCCTTTTTTTCAATTTCAGTCATGTCATCAGGCCTGGCAATGCATGGCGCTGTTCATCCATCAGAATATTGCTGAAAGTGATTCTAAATTATATAACTCCATTAAAATGAAATTGGAAGTTTTAGATTTGCGTCCAAAAATTTGCAAGATGATACTTGACAAATGACAGGAGGCTTTTGTTCATTTTTCATTAGGCTTAGGGCCTAGGCCTAGGCTAGTCCGAGTAACTTGGACCCAACTTATCGCCTTTTTTAACATTTGGACATGGTCTGGCGATAGTAGGGTCCAAGCTAATACCGCGAGCTGGACAACACCGTCCCAAAAACCAACATTTTCCAACAAAAAAACATCAGATTTCACCTTCAAAACGGCCTCCAAATTTAGATATGCCACCTGAGGTACAAGTAGACATCGATGATTAAGATGGTTGTACTGAAGTCTACTTACGATCCGGGTAAAAGTGAAATTTTCCGTTCATTTCGGAGAGCTTCCCTCGCGATCTTGAACACGTTAAATTTCCGATCGTGTTTAATGTTTGAACGACGCGATTTCTTCTTCATGCCCAGCGTACATTCGACGGTCCCCGTATCCCGAGTGCGATTCCGTTACCGAGCGCGCGCGATGCATTGATTATGATAATGAGTAGACTGGATCACGTTTGTAAACACATGTGCATTTCGAACGATAATAGGGAGTCGGGAACTAGCGCAGCTTTTATGGCGGATACCAGTTCAAGCTGGTTCCCGATTCCCTTTTACAGTTCGAAATGCACATGTATGTGTTTACAAACGTGACTCATTATCATAATCGATGCATCGCGCGCGCTCGGTAACGGAATCGCACTCGGGATACGGGAACCATCGAATGTACGCTGGGCATGAAGAAGAAATCGCGTCGTTCAAACATTAAACACGATTGGAAATTTAACGTGTACAAGATCGCGAGGGGAGCTCTCCGAAATGAACGGAAAATTTCACTTTATTCCGGATCGTAAGTAAACTTCAGTACAACCATCTTAATCATCGATGTCTAATTGTACCTCAGGTGGCATATCTAGTAATTTGGAGGCCGTTTTGAAGGTGAAATCTGATGTTTTTTGTTGGAAAATGTTGGTTTTTGGGACGGTGTTGTCCAGCTCGCGGTATTAGCTTGGACCCCACTATCGCCAGACCATGTCCAAATGTTAAAAAAGGCGATAAGTTGGGTCCAAGTTACTCGGACTAGGCCTAGGCCTATTCATTATAGTGAAAAATTAATCTCTTGACCGTCTTCTAAATTGCTGGAAAAACCAAGAAAACCTATCATATTCTTGTAGTCTGGTTCCCTGACCCCACTTACGATGAAACGGAGCAATTAATACACTTTGGTGAATTGCAAGGTCAGAGAATAAGTCTAGCAGGCTTGTACCCCTTCACAGGTGTGTAATCAATTGCAAAGAAAAGTCAGAATAACTAAATATGAAAAAGAAGGAACAGTTTTTGAAAAAAGCCAGTTTTCTCCAACGCTGGTCGGCCGACCAGCGTTGGAAAAATACAGTTTTTCTTGAAAATGTCAGCACACCAGGAGCCACGATTTTAAAGGATGATTTAGACTGTCAATCCCTAACAGTTCAGTAAGGTATTACGTGATAATTTGATCATTTCGTTCTTTGATGTTTGCAAATGTTGTATCTTCCCTTTAACCGGTAAAAGGGAAAAGGAGTCCGATTTTTACACGAGTCGGATTTTTATATGACACCGGCACACAGAACGTACATACATGTGATATGTATTGCACTATGCAGATGGGATTGACGATTGTGAAGTTGCGGTCTGGCCTCGGTCTCTAGCGTGGCGTGCAACAGGCACACCATACACCATAGTGTGTGGAAATATATGCCTTAGTAATCTAGTAATCTCATTTTTATGCGTCTAATTTATGTTTTTTGGTGTTTTTTTTTTTTGGTGTCTCAGAGGCCTGACCAGCTTGAAAGAGTTGAACAAATCAGGAGAAGAGAGGCACGGAAGAAGGTATGTACATATTACCATTTAGGCCGATTTAAATAATAATGACAAAGAAGCTTGGTATAATGTCATTTTCTGTATTATGTAAACTTCAATTTTTGGCAATAATTGTAATCAAACTAAAAACGTCTTATTTTGCTTTCAAATCACAAATCTGATTTTTAGTGCCATTTGGAAATTGTGCTGTGAAATCTAATGAAAAAGATTTTATTACAATGTTTTTTTCCCCTCCTAGGCCTCCGTTGAAGCCAGATTGAAGACAGCCATGCAGTCCCAACTGGACGGAGTGCGGACAGGACTGACCCAGCTACAGAGCGCCCTCGCTGGCATACGAGAGGTCAGAACCTGGTAAGAAACCTTTGACTTGATAATGGAGTGTACGCAGGAAGTATAGAGGGCGCTATTTTGCTTTGTCATGAAAGCCACGGTACCTGTAAATCAAATCATGGGCATTAACCCTAACTCCTTTATAGACTGGGCTGGATTTGGCCATAAGCCCCGCCCACCTTGCAATATGCCCCACCTACCTTGCAAAAAGCCCCGCCCACCTCGCAATAAGCCCCACCAACTTTGCAATAAGCCTGCCCACTTTGCAATAAGCCCCGCCCACTTTGCATCAAGCCCCGCCTACTTTGCATTAAGCCCCACCTACTTCGCATTAAGCCCTGCCCATTTTACATGTCAGCTTTCGTTGGGCATTCTTATTGTGCAGTCCTTGCATTGATAGTAAAAATATTCTTGGATTGGATTTTAATGGATTACCAATTTTTTGCTTCATTTTTGTGTCAGGATTCAGGAAGTCGACGGCAAGTATCGGGAGTGCGCCGAGCTGTCGTCCAAGCTGGGGGAGGTCAAGGAGGTCGCGCAGCAGCACAGCCAGGTCAGTAGGTCAAAGGTCACAGATCAAACATCAAAGGTCAATTCGACCCTAGGAGGGCCATGATTCACGCAGTGTCCATTCAAGTCTGGGCCAAAATCCACTAATCTGTTGTAGCTCATAAAACTGCTCAATGTATTTTTCCTGCTTAGCCAAAATTGACAGTGAACCAGTCACAAACAATGTAAACCCTGTGCATTTCGGTTGGTATCCTGTTTCTGCTCAGCAGATATGTTTTTATGCTTAGCAGCTCACTGAAATTAGCCACTGATTTTTTGTTGAATCTCGCCCGTGTGTCCGGTTTTCTTACTCAGTTGGCCGCGGCTGTCGAGAATCTGAAGCATATCTTCACCGTGCCGGAGAACATCGTCAAGACGGAGAAATACATCAACGAAGAGAGACTGCTAGCTGCCCACAAGGGGTAAGCGATTGGGGCGGGGCATCCTGGGGTGGTAGGGGGAGGTTGGCACTCGGACGTTGGACAAGATTGCAACTTTATACCTCTGGCTCGGTAAAATGTGATTATTTTTGATATTTTTCATTTCGTTTCATTCTTGTAGCCTGATGGAACTCGAGAGTTCAAGAGATGATCTTCTTTATGAGCTTCATAAACATCCCTCCGACAACCCCACAGATGATCATGTAAGTCCACAAAAAAATTCAAAACCAGACAAACTAATATCTTTCGTCACTTAAATCTTTAAATAACTAAATTGACAAAAAAATATCATTTTGATATCATCAAACTACATGCCCATTGAATTCATCTCTGGGAATAACACGTGTTGCTTTCTTATCTTTTTGTCCACAGCTCTTGAAACAATACTTCTCTGAAGTTGAAAGACTCTCTGTAAGTATTTAAAGGGAATATACAACATTTGCAAACATCGAAAAATAAAACTACCAAGTTTTTGCGAAATACCTTAATAGGATGTTGGTAAATGACAGTCTAAAGCATCCTCTAAAATTATGGCACCTGGTATACTGTCATTTTCAAGAAAAGTGGTATTTTTGTATCAATTTCCAACGCTGATCGGCCGATCAGCGTTGGAAATAACTGGCTTTTTTTCAAATACTGGCCCCAATTGACCATCGCACTTGTTTGCAATCGATTACAAACCTATGAACGGGTACGAGCCAGCTAGACTGGTTCCCTGACCTTACAATTCCCCAATGTATGTAAACTGCTCTGTTTCTTCTTATATGGAGTCAGGGAACCAGACTACAGGAAAATGATCGTTTTTCTTGGTTTTTATAGCATTTTCGAACCCCAAACATCCAAAAAGTCAGTGTAACTATATTTGCTTTATATTTCCAACCCCCCAATCCCATCCATTTCTGAAAATTACAGCAAAAGCAAATGATGTATATTCCCTTTAAATCTTTTTTCTTTCCCATTGATTATATTTTATTAAAAAAAAAGGACTCTTTGTTTTCCCGTATGAGAACTCGGGAACAAATAGAAAATCCATGAGACACTTGCTTATTTCCGTAGTAAATGTGCAGCGTTCCAGTGATCCAAGTTTTTTGAAAGGACAGAAATGTGCTGCGTCGTTTTTTCTGTGGACATTACTGAAATTGACCTGAACGTCCATTTTTTGAACAGGAGATGCTGTTTAGACAGTTGAAGCTTGCCATGCACCGAGTCCTGAACGCAGCCCGGGAAAACCCAGCGATGGTTGTCACGGCGCTACGCATCATCGAACGAGAAGAGAGGTAGGCCCTAGATAATTCAGTGAAATCCATCAACTTCCAAATCTTTACTCTACGTTCCTTGCATTTTTGCGAGGAACTTTCCAGAATCCTTAAAAAATCCTCTGCTGTGCAGGAACCCAATGGCACACTCTTTGTACCTACCAAGTTTCAAGGAGCATCAAGCCCCATGTAAAGTAATAGTGGCTGGGCTCTACCTTCCTCAATCCTACAAAATCCTCCACTGTGCAAGAACCCAATGGCACACTCTTTGTATCTACCAAGTTTAAAGTTGCATCAAGCCCCATGTAAAGTCACAGTGGCTGGGTTCTACCTTCCTCAATCCTACAAAATCCTCCTCTGTGCAGGAACCCAATGGCACACTCTTTGTATCTACCAAGTTTAAAGTTGCATCAAGCCCCACGTAAAGTCACAGTGGCTGGGTTCTACCTTCCTCAATCCTACAAAATCCTCCACTGTGCAGGAACCCAATGGCACACTCTTTGTACCTACCAAGTTTCAAGTGGCATCAAGCCCCATGTAAAGTAATAGTGGCTGGGCTTTACCTTCCTCAATCCTACAAAATCCTCCACTGTGCAGGAACCCAATGGCACACTCTTTGTACCTACCAAGTTTCAAGTGCATCAAGCCCCATGCAAAGTAATAGTGGCTGGGCTCTACCTTCCTCAATCCTACTAAAACCTCCAAACCGCTTGCTGGATATTGAAGGATAGGGGAGGGTTAGAGTTGCTCTTGGTCTGAATGTCCATTGTTCTCTGCAGAATTGACAAGAAGATGTTAGATCGAGAAAAGATGGCGGGTTTCAAGGCTCCTGGCCGGCCCAAGGAATGGAAGAGAAAGTGCATGGAAGAACTCAAGCATCTAGCGCTCGTACGGTGAGTTAAACATTGTAACACAATCTCGACAATGTTTCCACTGTCAATCTAGTCTAGGGCTAGACGTTGTTATTGTTTGATACCCGATAACCTGCCACCATGTGAGGGCGCCATCACAACCAACCAATATCACTCGCAGACTTATCAGTATAAACGTCTAGGGAATCTCCTATTGGTTGTGATATGCGCGCGCACCTGTTTGGCCTAATATATGCAGCGTACAATTCAAAAAATTTATAGTAGTTCCGAAGCAAACTCTCCAATTTCTTCCAGTGCAATAAAAAAAATGCAGCAAGACCTTTGTGCAATTTCACTGGTCAGCTCTTTTGTTGTGTGTAGTATGTGTGGGACTGAAAATTGACCGTAATTGCCTGCAGAAATCGTGCATCTGCACTAGTTTCCCCATTTTTCGGGGGGAGATTTTAGGAGATTTCTTAGACGTTGCTACTGACAAGTCCGTGGGCGATATTGGTTGGTTGTGATAGCGCCCTCTCACGGCCGCGGGTGATCATGGTTATCACGTATCAATTTATGCAACCTCTAGCCCCTAAATTATTGTCAGTCACTTGTTCCGTTGGGCTTTTCAGAGCTACATGGCCATGGTTGCTTTTTCGTAAATCTTTGTTTTGTTACTAGAAATCTGTCGTAGTAAAACAAAAGTAATAATGAATTAAGTTTAGGTTTTTTCTTTTTCTGACAGGATTGAAGGAAGTCAGTTGGAGGATCGCACCATCGACAAAATGTGGCTGGTCCGCCATCTTGAACTCATCCGCCAAAATATGGTCGGCGACCTCAAGGTTATCAAGGTAAACAACAAATTAAACTGTCTCAAATATTGACATGAAAAAAGACATTGCATTAGAAATGACAGATACTTCTCCACTCCTGTTTTGAGGAACATCTGAAACACAAAGCTATTTGTTTTTTAATATTGTTTTAGAATTTAAAAAGGCCATTTCTTCTTCCAGTGGAAGTGAATTGTCTTTTCCCCAAATTCCTGTATCTTCGATAAGTTACTGATAAGCACCGTCTATATCAGAATTCTCAATAATCGATGTATCTGAAATCCAACATCGAGAATATTCGATATATCGATTATCCCATGTAAAAGTTAAAGACCATAAAGATGACACTTTGATTAAAATAAACAATCACAGAACAAAATCAAACCTTTAGTCGCATTTTTCACAGCTTTTTCTGAAGCAGATTGCTCAAACTTTTTAAACAAATCTTAGCACTGAGTCCAGAACGGGCGGTTTCTTTTGAGGTTTAACATTTGGGAGACCACGAATTCCAGCGAACGCAGAGCACAAAGCGACGCCACTTGGCATTTTGCGATGTTTTTATTTTGTTTCACAAGCACAAGTTGTCGCCGAGTTTTATTTCATTTTACAGCAAACGTTAAAACACAAAGTAAAAGCACAAATGGGAGATTTATTTTGACAATAATCTGACGCATTTTTGATATTTTCGATATTCCTCAATATCGAACATTTCAATATTTCGATATGAGTACAAAATTGCAATTGACAATATCTATATCAAAATGTAATTGAATAATCGAGTAATATCGTTATATCGACCATGCTTAGTTACTGATTCAATGATAACTTTTTGGGGTTTACAGGTCCAGTGTTCAAGAAATTTACAAAACACTCTTTAATTTTGTTATCGTTGCTTTGTCATCGCAGTTTTTGCTTGTGCCGTGCTTCCCGCCACGCTACAACATCTTCGACCATTTCGTCGGCATGTACCAGGAATGCCTCAATTCTCACGTAAGTTTCGAGAAAACCTCCTTAAATTTGTTTGTGTGCCTCACATTACTGAACAGAAGTTGTTGAAGGTTTTTATCCCCTGGCTTTCAAGCCAGACAGACGCATATTCCTCCTGTGTTTCCGTGTGTGTGTGTTCCAGTTTTCTGTAAAGTTCAGTCATCAATCTCAACCAAACTTAAGAAGTGGTCTGTGGAGAGAAGGACCACGTCAAAAGAATCCTTTCCAACACGGATCTTTACGAGGTCTCTGGAGAGCCCAGCTCAGTATTACTAATGACTCTAACATGTGGTCCTTTTCACACTAAAGGGGTACAAAAGTGTGACATGGGATTGGGAAATGAAGCAAACTTAAGAGGTGGTCTGTGGAGAGAAAGCCGACATCAAAAAAATCCTTTCCAACATGGATCTTTATGAGGTCTCTGGAGAGCTCAGCTCAGTTTTACTAATGACTCTTACATATGCCTTTCCACACTAAAGGGGTACAAAAGTGTGACATGGGATTGGGAAATGAAGCAGGATAATAATATCAAGTTCGTTGTCCTATTTTCCACTTGTACATTCCCACCCCATTGTTGAAGATTGTGCTTTTAAAGAATTTAAGACTTTCTTGACAATATTTTTTTTTCTTTACTGCAGTTGCAAGACATGATATACGAGGAGTTGGAGCCAAACGAAATCATCTCACTCTTAACTTGGCTGAATGAATATAGGTAAAGGAACAGTTTTCTTTGATTGGATGAAACAATCAGTGTAAAGTATCCTGCTCAGAGACATCAGCATCATGTAAATGACTAACTCTATCTATCCCTGTTTGTGATTGGTCACTTTTTGCCCATGCGACCCAAGAGGTCCAATGATGATAAGCTACATATCATAATTGTCAGTCCATGACACACTCTATCTATCCCAGTTTCTGATTGGTCCATTTCTGCCCATGTGACCCTAGAGGTCTAATGATGATAAGCTACATATCACAATTATCAGTCCACGACACACTCTGTCTATCCCTATCTCTGATTGGTCCATTTTCTACCCATGTGACTTCAGAGGACCAATGATGATGAGCCACATTGAGCTAGGTATTGACATCAAAAAGCTGCCACCTTTGCTGCCGCCGAGAATTGTCGAGGACCTCCAGCAACAGTGAGTCCGAAAATCCCCCTGTTTTTTTTCTCAAATAATTTGCAATTTTTATGCCGTGTTAATTTTATTTATTTTTGTCCCCCTGGCTGTAAGCCGGAGGGGGCGATTGCAGTAGCGTATTCCTTCTGTATGTATTGCAGTGCGTGCATGTTTATGGTGTAAATCGAGGATACACACGTGCAACATCATCGATGAATCGAGACAGAAACCAAATTGAGGACTCCTCGGTTAGAAAACGTGTACAAAACCAATGAGAGCTGTTGCCAAAAAGTTGATGTACAAACAAAGGAAAAGGGAAGAGGAACAAAAGAAAATTCTTGATTTACACCATAAACAAACACGGGTCAAACACGGGTGTCTGTGTTGGTGTTATGTTTTGGTTAGGTTAACTTTGTCAGCACAATAACTTGAGAAATACTTTACTTTGGAACTTCAAATTTGGTTTGTGGGTTGCTCTTGGTAGTCCTATCAAGCTTATTGATATATGGGGCCAACAGGTCAAAGGTCAAGGTCACTATTGCTAAAACAATAGAAATCTTCCATTTTGGTTAGGGACACTGACTTTGTAAAAACTGCCAGCATGCCAGGGGGATTGCGCAAGTCTAACTTGCAGTATTTTTTAGGGTTTGTGTCTCAGAATTGTTTGATGTAATTGTTATTTTACATGTTTTTATACCCTATCTGCAATTCAGTTTAATTTTAAGAAATACTAGTTTCAAAATGTTTTCCAGTTTTTAAAAAGAGCAATTCTAAATTTGTTTGTTTTTGACTTATTTGTATTGCTGATTCGTTTCCTTTTCCCCTAGGTATCTGAAAACTCTTCACACCAACATCCAGAAGTGGATGAGCAATGCCCTGCAATCAGATGTCAAGGTGAGACCTTTGACCCTTAACCTTTGACCTCAACCTTTGACCTTAACCCGAGTTGACACTTCAATGATGCCACACCATTTTGGTTGGGTCGTGCTATTAAGTCTCAACAAGCGTCAACAAAGCATTAACAATTTTTAAAAGCACTTTTAAGCTTAAAAATTATGTTCAGAATATTCAGCGAGGGCTTGTGATTATTTTAAACGTATCATAGTATTTAAAAGTATCTTAAAATGTGCGATTTTTAGAAGAAAAAGTATGACATCAACAGTACTTTTTCTGGCGGCCATCTTGTTTTTCTGGGATATGTTACAATGGTGAATACGCAGAAGAGAAAACAAAGATGGCGGCGCCCAGTCACTGATTTTGTCGCCGAAGAATCCCGTTTTTTTATGAGGGAGTGTAAACGAGAATTCTCCCAATAAATGTGTATTTTGAGCTTATTGACGCTTCGTTGACGCTAAATAGCATGGCCGCTTTGGTTTGTCATGGTCAAAGTGGAAACTTAGGCATGCCACATAAACCCACACATTTATAATGTCCGAATTCCATGACACATCTCGGTTACTTTTTCCCAAATTTGAGTCCAATGCATGTATTTACTTTTGAGACGCTACTTGTACATAAAACCACCCAGTCCTCTTTTGCTTTGTTTTCTGTACCCCATTCCTCCAAGTCGCAATTGTCTTTTTTTTTCTTCGTCTTTCCAGGATTGGCATAGCGACGCGGAGCCGGACGCGGACGGGGAAGGTTACTTCCGTACCCAGCTACCGGTCATCATCTTCCAGATGATAGAACAAAATGTAAGCGTCTTGAGGAATTGTGGTGCTTGTGTCCTTCAGCAGGACTCTTTACCACAACTTCTCTCCATCTAAGAGTTAAATAGTTACTTGTGAGGGTAGTAAGCTCAGAAGAATTGTTTGTGTCCTTGGGCAAGAGTCTTTACCACAACTTCTCTTCATCCAAGAGTTAAATGGTTACCTATGAGGGTAGTGAGCTCAGAAGAATTGTTTGTGTCCTTTGGCAAGAGTCTTTGCCGCAACTACTCTCCATCCAAGAGTTAAATGGTTACCTATGAGGGTAGTGAGCTCAGAAGAATTGTTTGTGTCCTTTGGCAAGAGTCTTTACCTCAACTTCTCTCCACCCAAGATTTAAACAGAAACCTGTGAGGGAAGTAAGCTCAGAAGAATTGTTTGTGTCCTTGGGCAAGAGTCTTTACCTCAACTTTCTCCACCCAAGAGTTAAATGGTTACATGTGAGGGTAGTAAGCTCAGAAGAATTGTTTGTGTCCCCGGGCAAGAGTTTTTACCTCAACTTCTCTCCATCCAAGAGTTAAATGGTTACCTGTGAGGGTAGTAAGCTCAGAAGAACTGTTTGTGTCCTTGGGCAAGAGTCTTTACCTCAACTTCTCTCCACCCAAGAGTTAAATGGTTAATTTGTGAGGATAGTAAGCTCAGAAGAAGTGTTTGTGTCCTTGGGCAAGAGTCTTTACCTCAACTTCTCTCCATCCAAGAGTTAACTGGTTACCTGTGAGAGTAGTAAGCTGAGAAGAATTGTTATCAGAAGTGCAGAATTGTGTGTATGTGTCCTTGGGCAAGACACTTTATCACAACTTGCTTCTCTCCACCCATGAGTTGAATGGTTATCTGTGAAGGAGTAAAAATCAAAGAATCTGTTGTTAACAGCTATGAAATTGTGCCCCCCCCCCACCTATTTTTATCCCCCTGGCCTTCAACCCAGACAGGGGGATATTGCGATCGCATGTTCTTTTTGTGTGTCCGTGTGTGTTTATTGCAGTTCACTGTAAGTTCAGTCATCAATCTCAACCACACTTGAAAGGTGGTCGGTGGAGAGAAGGCTGATGTCAAAAATCCTTTCCAATTTGGATCTTTCCGAGGTCTCTGGAGCGCTCAGTTCAGTATTACCAATGACTCTAAAGTTCAAGTGCGGTGTCTCACCCAAACTCCCCATTCAACTGAGAACTGGTACCTGCCGGGTGGACAATCAAGGCCGTCACTGAAAAGTGTCCTTACTAACTGCCTGTACATGTACATGTATACAAACTGGCAGGATGCCAGGGGATCGCGCAAGTTCTACTTTCAGTATTTTTGATTTACTTTCCTATTTCCCCTCCTTTATCAGCTGCAAGTTTCGAATCAGATCAGCACGGACCTGACCACCAAAGTCGTCTTGCTTTGCATCGAAGAACTCCAGCTTTTCATCGACACTTACAAGGGTAAGTCGGCGTACGAATCTCTTGACCTGAGCTATTGTGTAGATCTTTCGACAATCACAACTTTGTGGGGTTTTGACAGATTTTGTGGGGGCTAGGGTTATCCTTCTGGGGAGCGTGCTCATGTTGTTAGGGTTCGTGACTTATGATCAGAGGGTCAGGGGTTCGAATCCAGCTGCTGGGCATTTGTTGTGTCCTTGGGCAAGCCACTTCACCCCACTTGCCACTCTCCACCCAGGAGTATAAATGGGTACTGGCATTAGCTGGGGAGTAACCTGCGATAGACTGGCATCCCATCCAGGGGGAATAGAAATACATGTATTCTCTAGACATTTAATGCCAAGGAAACCGAAGGTAAACGCCAGCCTGATGGGCCAGATTGGCCTGAGACAGACTTTAGTAAGGGTTATCCTTACTGTTAAAGGTAGAGTATATCATTTGCAGCTATCCAAAAAGTAACTGACAAAATTATTGTTGAAAACCATAGTTGGCAATGGCTCTAAACTCCCTGTGAAATGATTCTTTCTGGCATGCTGTCATTTTGAAGAAAACAATAAAAGAAGGCAATTTCCAAAGATGTTTCAAGTGACGCATTTTTGGAAATTTCCGTTAGTAGTTAGTTTTTAATTCAGCGAAGCCATGAATGGGTGTGCGCAAGCGTTGACACGACACATGTGCGGTTGCAATTATTTGTCGGTTCAGTGCTTGACATCGCGTAGCTGCAATCAGCTGAATGAGAACGTGTCGCGGACGCTGATTTTGGGCGCAATTCAAAACATAACTCTGCAACTTTTGAATTGAAATCTAGATCCTAGAATATTGTTTTTCTCGGAATATACAGCATTCACTCAGCTTACACTTCATCAGGTTAGTTGTTAAGCACCCGTTTTTAGATTGTGAGCACTTTGTTGCTTAAAACGAAAAAATGCACAAATGATATGTATGTTCTACCTTAATATAAACCAAACTTACTTTGTTGCAGGTGCCATTCAGTCCTACAAACTCAAGCATCAGGCCGACCGAAGCCAGCCACGAAATTACTTCCAGTACATGGTGAGTCCAAAGTCCGGACGGAACCTTTGCTAAGCGTGGAAAAAAATTTGTCTGCAGAGCAAAAAGGGTTACCAGCCAGAATGTCATGCCGTATTTATTGCTTTTAACTGGTTCCCTGCTAATACTTCCTTAGCATTAAAAAATTCCAAAGCAGTATTTTTCTTATTAGCAGTTCTGTGTTCTTATGGAAATCCTTCTTTAGAAAATTATTTAAGAAGAAATTTATCAGAACTTTTTTATTTCATAATTATTCTCTTTTGACTTAGGTTGCCGTGGTCAACAACTTCATGTTGTTCATCGAATTCACCAAACAACTGGAGGTACGTTTGTAGAGAATCAGCAGAATAAAAGCGTTACACACTGCAAACAAAATCTCTTCCCTCAAATACCTTGAAGCAAATAAACCAACAATGCTCTGCCTAACAGATTCAGCGTGATTGGTCGAAATGGCCCCATACTATCATCTGTTTCGGTTTATGAATAAAGTGCCCTTAAGCACGCAAAGTGGTTTTTAATTAATTTTTTTCCCTTTTTTAAGAAGCGACATCTGAACCTTCCGGAAGACGAGGCCAGCTCCACAACCTTCGTCCAAAACCTGGTGGATTCCTTCCATAGACTCAGCATGGACTGGTAAAGCCCACTGTTTCTTTATGATCTCCGTGCGCAAACAATAGAGGGCGCTTTTTGACCACTTTTGAGAGCTTCAGCAGGGGGGGGGGGGGACATACCGACCGCAGGCGCGTTCTGGTCCGTGAGTGCTCTGCGCGAAATACGCTTGGAGTATCTTTATTCTAAATGTGCACAAAGCCATACTGTCTTCGCGTGAGCGTCGGGCGTCGTCGGTGATGCGTTCAAATATCCCTCGCTGTGGTCTCCCCAACTCTCCCTTTCCTACCGTTGAGGGGGTACTTGTGCACGGAGCCCATCCGGTTCGTTAGTAAAAACGTCACCCAGGCGCGCGCACCACTGATTACTAGCGCCCATTGGATAAACGCTCGAGTTGCATTAATTTTAACCCTAACCCCCTAGGCCCTTGTTGCTTACAACCATCCTCAATCCTCCAAAATCCTCCAAAATTTTGCAACTCCGCCTACATTTTTCAAAATTGTCAGACAGTCCTGCCTCAAAATGCATTCATCCTCAATCCTCCAAAATCCTCCTCATCCCAAAATTTTGCACTCGTGTTTAAATGAAGGATAAACCAACGCGAAATCCTTCAAAATCATCAGACAGTCCTGCCTCAAAATGCATTCATCCTCAATCCTCCAAAATCCTCTTGTGCTTCAATCACCATTCATCCTCAATCCTACAAAATCCTCATGTGCTTCAATCACCATTCATCCTCAATCCTCCAGAATCCTCATTTGAATCAATCACCATTCATCCTCAATCCTCTAGAATCCTCCAAAACCGCCAGGAGGATTTTGGAGGAGTGAGGTGGGTTAGGGTTAACAACTGGTTCCATTCGTGCGATGCTACACTGTGTGAAGTACGCATGGTTGAATTGAGATGACGACACACTTAACGAACCGGATTGTGCTCATGATTTTTGTTTGTTCCACTCGTATTTATGGGATAATCACCAGAATTTTCTATGTTTTTTTGCTGATGTTCAATTTTTTGTCTTTGTAGTATGGGCGATCTGATCGGCGAGATGTTCATGGATCTGCAACCTCATTTTCATCAGCTTATCTCAAGAACTTGGTACGTCACTTCCCAAATCCTTACCCCTGTCATCTTTTAGGTCTTACCATGCCTCCCCTTGTTTCAAGAATCAACTTCTTGAGAATTTTTCTGCTCAAAAACGAAGTTGGGACATCAATGGAGCATTCCAGATTTGGCCATAAGCCCCGCCCACTTTTTGTTTGTGTACATTTCTCACAGAGCTTGAGACCGAGTTTGATCAATCTACTATGGTCACCTGACCAAACGTAATGATCTCATTGGTCAGTGAGCACTGTTTGATTGACAGACAGGAAGAGTCCATTTTGGGAATTTCACTATGGAACATTCCGGATTTTTCCGTAAGCCCCGGCCACCTTTGGTTTGTGTACATTTCTCACAGTGCTTGTGAATGGCTTTAGCTGAGCTAACCTGGTCACCTGACCAGAATTCATGATCTCATTGGTCAGTTTGCACTGTTTGATTGACAGACAGGAAGAGTCCATTTTGGGAATTCAACTATGGAACATTTGGATTTTTCCATAAGCCCCGCCCACCTTTTGTTTGTGTACATTTTTCACAGTGCTTCCAACCGAGTTTGATTGAGGTCCGTGGTCACCTGACCAAAAGTCGTGATCTAATTGGTCAATGCACGCTCTTTGATTGACAGTTAGGAAGGTTTTATAGTGGAGTGTTCAGTCCTAAATCCAACCAAAAACTTCAAAACCATTTGTAAGATTTTGTAGGATTTAGGCTCGTTCCCAATAAAAATCTGATCTCTTTGTGATAGGCTTCAGGTGCAGGCCTCGGCAGCTATTGACACCGTCTGCGTGACTATTGAGGACTACTACCGCGACTTCCTGCATCTCAAGAAAAACTTCTTTGAGCCATTGGTGAGGCAATTGGAAACAAAGGTGGTGGCCGAGTACATCAAGGCCTTGGTGGAAAAGTAAGATCAGTTGATTGAAACTCAATATTTCTTTTGACCTAGTTCTCACAAGTAATCACAAGTCCATCACAAATACTCACACGATACAATTCCTCACAAGTCCATCACAAGCCCATCACAGGTCCTCACAAGTCCATCACAGGTCCTCACAAGTCCATCACAGGTCCTCACAAGTCCATCACAGGTCCTCACAAGTCTATCACAGGTCCTCACAAGTCCCTCACAATCCTAACAAGTCATCACAAGTCCTTACAAGTCCTCAGAAGTCCATCACAGGTCCTCACAAGTCCATTACAAGTCCTCACAAGTCCACTACAAGTCCTCACAAGTCAATCACAAGTCCTCACAAGTCAATCACAAGTCCTCAGAAGGCCTCACAAGTACATCACAAGTTCTCACAAATCCATCACAAGGCCCCACAAATCCATCACAAGTCCATTACAAGTCCTCACAAGTCCATCACAGGGCCATCAAGTCCTCACACGTCCTAACAAATCCATTACAAGTCCTCACAAATCCATCACAAATCCAAAACAAGTCCTCACAAGTTCACACAAGTCATTCACAGGTCATCGCAAGTCCACCACAAGCCAACACAAGTCCATCACAAGCTGTTTTAGGTCCTCACGAGTCCTCACAAGTCCATCACAAGTCCTCATAAATCCACATGAAACCTCATAAGTCCATCACAATTAAGTCCTCAAAACAAAAGTTCCGAAAATTGACATCTAATCAAGTTTGTTGCGAGATGATGGACATGTTTTTTAAAATAGGAAATCTACAAAATATCTTTTATGTTTAATTGAATGCAGGCGAATGACATTCCGAAGCTACGAAGAGCGTAAGACAGCAGCAGACAGAATAGTGAAGGAATCGGAGCAGATCGAGGCGCTCTTTGAACGCATCCTGAAAAGAGAGGTACGTCTAAAACAAGACACTGCCAACCTAGTAAAGCTGGTCCCAGCGTAGTCAGAGTGAGAGTGCACAGCATTCTATTCAACAGATTCAGATTGGCTATTCACTGGAAGTCTTTTCATGCATCTGGTCTACACAATGTGTGATTTTGCCCATTCATTGGTGTTACAGGGTAATCCTATATGATTGCACTGCCCGACTCTCTTCACAAGTCTACAAGCAGTCTGTAGTCACAAGTGACAGTCAGTTAATCAGTCAGTCAGTGAGAGGTGCACAAGAGGACACTAGCCCGGCCAGACACACAAAGGGAGAACAAAGATCCTTTCAGTCTTCGAGCATTGGGTCATTTGTTGAAAACTAATGCAGGGCCCGTCGAAAATGTGCCTGTTCGGAATCGGCAGAGACTTGCTCATACAAACTACGCACACGATTTAATGGTGTTGTTTTCACAGGTTGAACGCACACTCACAGGTTGAATGCACTTTTTTTTTTTGAGATTCCTCGAATTATAGTAGGAAAACATGAGGAAGAAAAGTGTGCTATTGTTTATTTACCCATTGTTGATGATGGAATTATCTCTATGCAGTTTATGAGACAAATATATGGGGCCAGCTACGCGTCTCATTTGTCTACCAAACTTTACGCACGTAGTGTTAATTGTGACGTCAGGCAACTCATTGGCGCCATACGCATGCGTACACATGCAGGCCAAATCTTTCAGGAGACAAATCATGCATGGGGCCAATGTGCAGCTTTTTTGCGGCTTTTTCAAGAACCACGTCCAAACTATTTCAATCTTGGCACTGCACATTCTGTGGTCCCGAGCAATACACCCGCCGATTTTCAACTTCATACGGTGCCCGGTTCTGGAGATAATCGACGTACAGACAGACAGACAGACAGACAGACAGACAGACAGACACACACACACACACACACACACACACACAGATTCCTGGAATTAGTAAGGATGGCCATCGATCATACAGTTTTGTGCTTAGTCTACATGGGAGTGTGTTATATTACAGCGACAAACGGAAACACAAAGTATTGTCCTCGGGCGTATTGACATTCACGACTGTTTGAGTTTGTTTATGGTGTAAATCGAGGACATACACATGCAACATCATCGAACAATCGAGGACAGGAACCAAATCGAGGACGACCTCGATTAGAAAACGTGCACAAAACCAATGAGAGCTGTTGCGAAAAAGTTCAAGTACAAACAAAGGAAAAGGGAAGAGGAACAAAAGAAAATCCTCGATATACACCATAAACAAACGTGGGTGTGGGTGCCTGTGTTTTATGGCATACAGTGGTATTTTCATAGGCCCTCAAATTTTGCGTAGACCCTGAAATTTTTCATAGGACCCCAAATTTTTCGTAGACCCTAGGCATAGTGCCTACTGTTCCTATTGGATAATCCGGGCCTGCAGCCTAGTCAGATTTAGCATTCCATTTTAACAGTGTGGTTTCACTTATTCTCTGAATGTTTTTTAGGAGAGATCTCCATGCGAAGTAATCCCAATGCTCGCCGAAGTCATCAAACTCATGGACACGTCGCTGCTCTCCTTGGAGATCTCGACGCTCGTCAACAAGTACGCGGACATCCGCACGGATCACCTCGTCAACTTGCTCGTCATGAGAGGCGACATGTCGGTCTCCAACGCACGGCAGGTGAGCAGACTGGTTACCAGTGAATTTTGGCTGGTACCCACCAGTTGCGGTGATGCATGCTGGTACAGGCTTGTTTGTTACCTTTTTGAGATGTGACGGACACAATACGGGGGCGCTACATTGAGTGGGTGAATTTTAGAAACAGCGCCCTGCTACTGTGTCCGCCATTATTCAAAAAGGCAATTGTACTGGTACTCTGTGAAAACATGGCTTCATATCGAGCTTCGGCTACGGGAGAGTGTAAGCCCTTGCTTTCGGGCACCTCACCTCAACGTAGATCCGCATTAGGCTACAGGAACACAAACCCCATGTCTTCAAATCCTTGGAGACCTATTTTGGGAATGTTTCAATGTAGTTTCCACATAAATGTGACCGGCTCCACAAAAAAGGGTATTAAGTCGCGCTGAGCATTATTGTGTAATGACCTGCTCAACATTGAAGGTGAACATTTTGTCAAAATGTGATTTTCATTTTTTGTCATGAATGACATCTTTAATACCTACAGTTTCAGGTTTTATTCACAGAAATGTTGATTTTGATGAACAAAGTGGACAAAACAACAATTTTGTGTGCATCGTTCTGTTGTTCTACAGTTGAGCCAGCTATTTCAAGGCCCGTTTTCTCAGTTGTGTAATTTGAACTCCAAGGAAGTAATTAATATGAAAATACGTCATATCTCCAGAACAGGAGGGGCTATGGAGCTCTATTATATACCAAATGAAAGCTTACATTGTTGGCTTTCCAAAAATGTATATAACTCAATTTCACCTTTATGCGACATAATACCCTTTTTTATGGAGCCGGTCACAAATGCTTCTGAATAGTTGACACTAAAAGTGGAGCCGAAGCTGTAAGCAAAACAAGGTTTCAAAAACACTGTCTCGTAACTTTTTTGTGCAGATATTGCAAAGGATTGTGGGCCATCTCACCGAACTGCCGCACTGATAAGATTTATGCATGATTTATACGATTGAAATTCAATCCGTGCATACATTAAGTTGATGTTTTTTTTCCCTTTGTAGGCCATAGAAGACGTTTTGGGCGAGGACAGTTCAAGAAAGAAGACTCCTAGAACTATCTTTTCACTTGTAAAGTAACTAGGCGTCGGTGTCTCTGTACGCAACTCCAGTGATTTGAATATAACTCCAGTTGCATTTGTTCAACAAAAATGCCCCAAAACTTGAAACTGAAGACACAGTCTGGAATTGAGGTCAAATTCTTGAATTGGGATGTTTAAGATTTGAAAGAAACGTTTAGATAACCAGAAACATGAATATAAGAATGCATGATGTAAACCGATAAATATCCAAAAAAAATTAACTATTATTTTCATAAACAATTTCGGCTAATCTAGGAAATAACCAATGTGCAATACATGTATTTAGTTTGTATTTTTTATTTTCATTTTTCTCTTTTGTAAAACATGACTACTAAGAAATAATTATGGACCCTGTGCTTGATAACATAGTCATTGCAAGCAGTGTAGTTAAAAATGTGAAGATTTTTAACAGTTGAATTTACAAAGAGCAAAGCTAAAATTAGCAGGTTTTTATCAATATTGCTGTTATATACTTACTATCGGGCTGTTATTCTAAAAAAATCTAGACATTGTTTACCTTCTAAACAAATGTCAAAATTCATAATCATGTAAATAAATGACTCTGCATTCATATAGGCCTATCTAGTTAACCTGTATATCAAAAAAATAAATACAACTACAGGGTTTCTAAAAAAACCACGAACCCTTAAAGCGCCCTCTTTTTCACGGCTTTTAAAAAAAAATCGCAAATGTCAATACATATTTAGAGAGTATAGTCCATTAGCTTTTCAGCATCGGCTTAATATTTATTGAGTTATGGCCAATTCAAAATAAGTGCCAATTTTTTCAATCTGTCCACGGTTTCAATTGTCATTTGTTAGAAATGTAATAGATTTGGGGTGAGGGTAGTTTTGTTTTCTTTCATATTATAATGTTTCTTTATTTGGTTCAGTTTATTGTTATTTTTTTTGCAACAATGGTCATTTATCCTTTTGGAAGTAATGGCAGTCCTGAAAAGAACTGTTTGATTAACTTCTTAGATGTTTACTTTAGTTTCGGCCCGTGTTCTTATTGCGGCAGTCAAAAATATCAGTCGCCGTGGACAAAATGAAGCAGCGGTACTTGTTTTCAATTGGCCATAACTCAATAAATATTAACCTGATTGGAAAGATGTTTTCGTAGTTAAAAAGCTAATGGACTATACTCTATAAATATGTATAGATATTTGCGATGTATTTTTTTTAAACTGTGAAAAAGAGGGCTTTTTGAGGGTTCGTTGATTTTTTTAGACACCCAGTGTGTTAATCGTGAAATAAATTCACAAAAGGACATTTGATTATTCTTGTTTGTTTTTGTTTTCTTTTTTTTGCGGGTAGAACTTACAGTTGTATTGTTGTTTTTCTCAGAATGGTAGAATTGTCAAATGCATTTGTTTTAATGCATGTTGAGCTTCGGTCCTCGTAGACATATATGCCTAATGTTTTTAAGCTCTGGGGGCTTCTACGAGTAACTTTGGGGTCAGTCGGTCAGTCGGTCGCCGAAAAATTACCCAAAAATATTTTACAAAAATGGAGCAAATGCCATGCCGTCGTCCGTAAATGCACTCTAAAAATTGTTTGTAACAATTCGTAAAGTTGTTTATGAAAATGTGTAAACGGAGGCAGGATATGTGCAGTATTGTTATGGTCACCTGGTATTTTCTGTAGTGGTTGGACGGTATCCAGAAGGAGGAAATGAAACTTGACGAAAAGTATGGTGTTCCATACTGTGCCAGCGGCGTCGCATTTGTGCACTCGCGCACTTGTTTTTACTCGCGGAACAAGAATGTTTATCGAGTTGAAGCCCAATATGTAAGAAAACCTCAGCATCATACATTCCTTAAAAATCGTCTCTTCCTGTCTGGTCGATAATCAAAACATGAAATAATACATCACGGTCTGAGAGGTAAACCCAGCCACATAGCTTGTACTTTTATGTAAAGAAAAGTTTAATATATTGAATGTGCTCAAAGTCCACAGTGAAACCTGCTATCTTCAGACTTGCACAAAATAACTCATATTGATCGGAATTTAACCAACGCAACAAAATGGTGAGACCGAGACGCCACTAATAAAAGAAGAATGCGCACCGTGCTCAACAAAAGGGATGGAGTGCCAAGATCAGATACAACTCTCGTTATTAAAATCACTTCGGATGCAGCGGCGCCCGAGTATCGTATTGCACGACCTGAATGCTCGATAGTATCAAAACTTTGAAAATTGATAAAAGATTCCCCTGTTGAAAATCCCCTTAGCACTGATATTGTACCTTTTGTGATCTGATGACACTGATGTTCATACGATATACAGGAATAAAAAACGCTGCCAGCACTGTCTTTTTGTGAAAACGATCTTCAAACTGGTAACCAATAACCTCTTCGGGTAACACGAGAACGGTGCGTCTTTCTTTCGTCATTTTCCCGCCTTTTTTGTGAACAAGCCGTCATTTTTGGCAGGAAAGAAAATGAAAATATGATTGGGCTGACGGGTAACAATGTAGGAATTGTGATGCGTTTCGAGACAACAATAGGCACAATTGCGGTTTTTATTTGCGATAGTTGTATTGTGAGACACAGCGGGGGAAATATGTGCGCTGATGACGTCAGCGGCTATTGTGAATGCATTGTAATAAAATATGGTGATAGCATCGAAAATAATAAAATAATACAAGGCGTAAATGACACGCATCCTATTACGCACGGCAGAGTCTCGTACTAAAATTCTAATAATAGATCTAATTATGCCCTCGACAGAAAATTCCAGGAACTCAATTATGCGACGAAGAATCAAGTGATCAGATGGCATGGAGCTCCGGTGATCAGACCGTGGAGGAAGGAACTTCCTCCACGAGCAGACAGTCATTTTGTAAGCGGACACAGTTCAGGCGTGATGCACGTATACTGCCTATAGTCGGTTTGAATTGGTATTTCACGGAAAATGCAAATGTCTTTATTTTTGTTTTTTAATGCGGATCATTTCACTCCACAGAATATGTGTTTAATTGTTGACGTACAGTTTCGTCACAACTTTCTGTCTTTTTGACATTATTAAAAAATGTTCAATTTTTACAGCCCCTACGACAAAAGTACAATGATTTATCAGGTGTAAAAAAGTCAAACTGTATATAGGAAAATCGGTCAAATTGATGTAGGCTCTAACTTAACTTGCTTGTAATTTGAAGTCGGAATTCATTGGTACCCCGAACAATATTATTATTGTTCATCATTGTGTTCATCAGTTTGTATTCCACCAACGTTATTCAAATAGCTGTTTTTAAGTCCCGACCCATGATTATGTGTTGACCAATCACGTGATTAATAATAATTATGTATCGGAAGTGCAAGTGCACGTGCGTATGAAGCGCGCGTACCACGTGTACAGTGGGCGGGGCTTAACTTTGTACATCCGGGTAACTTACGTAGTGATATGTAACTGGTTTCCTGCTTACCATTATAATAATATAAAGCCTTTTATCTTAATGTCTGGTTCGTTAGTGACTTCGTCACACGCGCACGCACCACTGACTGATTACTAAAAAGCGCCCATTGGATAAACACTCAAGTTGCGTTAACTTCCGGTTCCAATCAATTTTCTCCCAGATCAATGGTTCCAATGCTATTAATGTGCAGTGGGCGTGGTTAAAACTGAAGTGACGTCACACTAACGAGCCGGATAGAGCTGGTTACACGAGACCAGCGCGGCCATCATAAATTATGCGCCTTGAAAGTGCCGGATACCAACACGCACGATATTGGTGTCACTTTGACCTCGCAGGTCGCAGTTCATTCACGAACTTTTTATCACCTACGTTAATTGGAAATCCTCCGCTTTCTGGAGCTACTGAGTGGACGCATTTGGTTCAGTTTTCAACAACTTCAAAACTTGCATTAATGTACTGTAGGCTACATAATGTACTAGAAGTCTATCTCAAACAGGTTTCACGTTTTCCTCGGCTACTCTGAAGTGGTCACCTGTATTTCTTGCATGCGACCGGAAACAGCTCAATTTAACGCTGGAAATGGAATAAATCCACCTTAGTTTTCTGCAGTGACCCGGGACGAAAGCTGGCAGATACGTGGATACGTCCTGTTTCAAAATCCCCGCGGCCGCGAGACCCCAGTTTGCTGAGTTTGTGTTTCAAGTGGGCCGTGCACGTCACGCATTGCTGTTAAGTGCATATACATGGTACATGTATGATGTCAGCCAATGTCGCCCACATTGAGGAACGGTAAGTTTTTACACATTTCGTATGGCCCTTTTTATTTCCTCAATGTAATACAATGAACATGGGACGATCAACATATTTCCCTCGTAATGGTATTAGTATCCTCGCATGACTGGCATAACTATGTTAACCACGCGTCGGACGATATCTTTTCACAATGGCTCTGTTTCTTAATGCCAAACGGCATGAAAAAATGGGCAACATTTTCAAATAAAATATTTGGAAGAGGGGATGTGTCCTCAGGCCTCAACCGACAAAAGTCAAAAAGCAAAAAGACTTTCCAAAAGTGATCACAATATTATGTGACTGTTAAGTTGTCAGTTGGTAGGGAAAGGGGTGGGAGTCAGAAATAAAGACACGCCCCTCAAGATTAGCTTTGAAACCGTAGCAATGGTTCAAATTGTGGAATGTTCTAACTCACTGAGTACGACCAACGGTTAAGCTGCGAAAACATGCATCATGCATGGTCAACCACTTTTAAGGAAGGCATTCAGTTGCTGTGATGTGCCCTAGTTCTTAGACCTTTGCCTCTCAAGCTAAACATGCCTGCTTGCACAATTCTAGCGTTGTCTCCTTTAACGCAGTCATCCAATCGTTATTTCCCGGCCGTGACCGGAATGGTCAAAGTTCATTCAAGGACGGCCCCGCCCAACGCCCCTGGATGTTGCGGCCGCCATGAATAAGCGTCGCCGTGCGCCTTCGTTGTTTAATCCCCAGCGACGAGCATATGTCTGTGGTCCTAAATGACCGTAGAAAAATCAATAATGTGGACCGATCGAGTTGCCCGGTTGAGTTTGTCAAATTGGCCCAGAACCGGCGGCTCAACAAGAACACATAGGTTCCTAAAACACCTCCAGGCATTCTGGATACAACATAATTTTTAAGAAAATGTACGTCAAAATCGTTGCGAGTTTCTAATTGTTCTGACTTTTAATGAGGTTTTGAGGAGGTTCGATAAATTGGGCGAGTCTGCATCCTGATGATGTTCAGTAGTTGGAAATTGCATTTTTACGAAAATGTTATTGCACTTGCAGTAGCGCGCAGTGGTTTGAGATAGATCGAGAGTGCATGCAGCAGGTGCAGTAGAATTTGGGAAGATAATTTGGAAAATGATTGTAAATTGTCCGTCAAAGCACGAAAGTATTTCTCTTTGAGGGATTTTCCCGCTGATAAATTTCCAGGGTCATAAAAGCATTGAGAAATGTCTGCTAACGTGTGCGTGTTACGTTTGCGTGCGTGATGAACGGACGTGTCGCTATCATCAGACGATCGACCGCCAGGATTTTTTTCGCTTTGCATTGTGGGTAAGCAAGAAGAAAGAGTGCGGTGCGCCATTGCTCTTTCCGTCGAACGGTGCGCGGAAACCGGCATGTGTCGAACCGACGCCGACTTTGCCAATTTTTTCTCTCATTTGTGAAATTGGGCCTCCACATAGACCATCAGGATTCTCCTAGTAACCCTTGGAAGCATTGTGGTGTGTTCTTGGAGATTTACAGGTGAGTGAAAGGGGGAAATTTTGGGGGTGTTTTGGGGTCGGATGGGGCGGGAGCCGGCCGAATGCCGACCGACGCGCTGCGTCATGTGTCGTGCATTTTGTCCTCGCGACGGGACGAGTGCCAACATTCTTTGAAAACTTTCCCCCCTCAAATGACCCGATACAACTCAAATCCTTCATCTAGGTTAACCTCTGTTAACTCCAGTGTGGTGTCGTGATAGTTTTTGGGGCGAGGTGTGGTTGTTTCGGGCCGTATTTTGAGAGCTTGCAACCGGGAAGTTTTCAGCCAAAATTCGGTTGCCGGCATATTTGCATGGTGGTCGTGTTGGGACCCTTAGGCCCTGCAGCACAGGCACAGCGCCGAGTCTGCATGACGCGACATTCATTGTAAACCGATTGTCATTGTTACCCTGTGTGTTCCTCTTTTATATTTCCCTATTTTTTGTGCAAAATAATAAATGTAAAATGTTAAAGTATTTTTAACAGTTACTTCAATTTTGATGAATTTTGAACTCACTGATTTTGACATGTTTTGACATGTGTGTTGTGCCAAATTTAGTTGCATAACCGTATACACACTTTCCAATCGATTTACCTGCCAATCAATTAATCATAATACATGTATGATGTACTGTATATTTATCAGGCATTTATCACCTTTTTTGAATGTCTGGTCAGGATAGGAATGTTAGGTCAGGAAAACAGTAATTTTTTTAACAGTGAGTGTTTTGTTTGTTTTGTTTACATGGTTTAGCAGACTTTTTGTACATATGTTTTATGCAGCCCTTTTTTGAGGACAGGCATATGGCAGCACTTTTGTGAACTGTACTTATAATCAAAGCCACGTTCAAAATCTGAAAAAGTTACATGTTCTTCCAAATCGAATTTTAAATACCCAACTTAATGCTAATTTACCATGGCATTATTGACCATCACATATTCTGAGCAAAATTGTGATTTTGACCAATTTTTTTTTTGCAGCAATAATGATAAAGTTCATTGAAAATAACTTTTTATGAGGTCATTGTTGTCATGTTAAATGTAGCAATTAGTCAAAGTAAAAATTAAAGGTAAATGTGCAAATGAATGAGTGAGACTCTTAACAAATGACTTAATGTGTGTTCTGTGGGTTTTTTTCAGTCAAGTTTGCAAATTAATTTTAAACCACTTGAATTTTTTTCAGCACCAATTTTAGTTCCATCATGTGTATGTGTTGCACTAGTCCGAAAATTTTGGACTCTCAATACTGTGTATGAGATTCCCAAACATTAAGGTATTGAAAACATGCAAAACAAGAAAATAGACTGGCACCTGAAACAACCAGTCCAACAACCCTTCAGTACTGCATCAATCAACTGTCAGTTAACTGTGCCAAAAGAAATATCTAGGATGTCAGGTACTAGTCTAGCTATTTCTACACATTTCCCCATAGTTAGCCACCAGACTAATGACATTGAATGAAGAGGGCAGTCTTTCAAACAGTTGGACCATGGTTGGACATGCACCAGTCTAGTCTTTAGCCTCATTTTGAAATCACTTGACTTCCCTCTCATGTGCAAAATATTGAAGAAAAGTCTCCTTTACAAATTGAATTGAGTCTTTAAATTTGGTTGGTGAAATACTGAGGACCTTTTCTTTGCCCGTTGAAAATTTAGGAGAATTTTGCTAGCTAAAGAGTGAGTAATGTTTTGCATGTTTTTCAGTACTCAAGGTCCCAGTCTAGTGTTGAACATGTGCTGTGAACTGTATCATATACATGTACATGCCTATTATTAATAATGCAGTCAGTTTACTACTGGCGCTTTCAATCCATTTGTGTACAATGCACAATAAAGAGTCAAGTGTGGTATGAGATGACAATGACATTACCATCGACATTGTACTTAAGAGAGAGAGGGGCATGTTAAAGGGGCACTAAGCCCTGAAGTCCCTGAAAATTTCATGTTTTGGATTGTTTACTTGGGCCAAAAAAACCAACAAACAAACAGTTTTGCTTCCGATTACATGGCATTCGAAAATAGGGTAGGTAGGTAGGGCATTTTTGGGGGGGGGGGGGGATTTTTTGTGTGTACGATCATATTGAAACATCTGCGTGCAGTCATGGGTACAAGGTAGTAATTGATGGTTTTGGGTGTTTTTTCCTCATTTTTCCCATAAAAAATTAGGGTAGGGGATGTCAGCATAGGGTAGGTAGGGAAATCGGAAGCAGAAGTATTTTTGTTGTTGGCCTTATCCTATTTCAAACATCTGGTTGAAAGGACACCAACCTAATGTCTTACTGTTCCCGAGAAAAGAAAAAAAAACCCCGGTTGTTTAACATCGGACAAGACGGAGTACGCATACATTTTTCCTGTCATTTTCAGTCAATGTGCGATACACTTTGTGTGTGTCACATAATTATACACAGCACCAATGCACAAATGTGGTTTCTTACACGTCCGCAAAAGGGGGAACACTTAACGGATGGAATCCCAACCAGCATGAACAGCCGATTTTTGGGGTCGCAAAAGTGGACCCCGAAATTTGTTCTCGCATGAGTAACACCAGAATAACACAAAAACGCGCATTTTTTAAAGGGATAGTTGTGTGGATGTTTATATCCTACTTTTAAATGTTCTTTCCGATTAACATCATTTCGTTCAAGGCGCGTTTTGTAGCCCAGTTGGGCGTATTCCAGAATGTAGAGTCCCTTTAACATAACATCATCTAGTAACTATAAGGACGGATCCCACTCCTGACACCATGTAACGATGGATGCAATGCACTTATAAATAACTGACACTGGGAGACTATGTGTGTGTGTATTCAAGATGGCTGTGTACTTGACCCAGTTACGGCCCGTCAATAGAGGGCGGTATATACATTTAACAGACCTCATGATACATTCATTACAGTAACCATTCACAAAGACATCTTCTTGGTGAAGTACTTCCGTGTAGCATAAAGCAGACATGAAGCAGTAAACACAGAGTAATTTGTTTCTTTTGTTTTCCTTTCGTTCAGATTGTTTGACCCCTGCACTTGCAACCATCACCATGACCGACATGGGTGTTCATGACACCCAAGCCGACATCGCTAAGGGCCAGGAGGGACCGGACACCCAAGCCAAACAGCCGGACGTCACGGTCCTTCACCCACCCATGAACCCCGCCCGGCATGGCATCCAACAGATCGTGGACTGCTTCCGATTCGGCACTCCCTTTCTGAAGCAGCTGATCCTACAAGAAGCAGATGTGATATACGAGTGTCGCGTCTGCCGCAGCTTGTTCCGTGGCCTGTTGAACTTTGTCGAGCACAAGAAGTGCTTCTGTGTTGAGCGTGTCAGTTCAGACATTAATCTTGTGGGGAAACGGCAGAACACCGATGCAAGAGAATATGGGATTTCCAACGAAGAAGCAGCTAGCATCTTATCTTGGGGTGCACCTGCAGCGAAAAAAGACATCCGGAAAAAAGCTGAGAGTGCATCATCTAAAGGTGAGACCTCCAAGGTGTCCAGCGCGGAAGATGTATACGATGATGACGAAAATGACAAATTTGTTATGCTTCGTCCGATCCCAACTACCTCAAAAGCTGTCGAACAGCAAGTAGTCAGGCCTGAACAAATCCTTCATGAGGAGCAAATCAATAGACTTAGTGCTTTCAAGTCTCTGAGAGATCAAGGCGAAGACACTTCAAAAATTGTCGGCGAGATAACCATTCGCCAAGCGGCCAAAGCAGGGAGAGTCGCAGTTCCAACGTCTGTGGATAAACGAGAAACTCTCCACACTTTACTCAAGACAGTGAACTCAACTTTTTACGTTGAGAAAGGTTCATCCCCTCCGTCAGACATGAGTGGGAAGAAAGACACATTGAGAGTGGATGTGGACACCCCCAAGTCTGCCATCAGCCCGACAGCCTCTCGAACAAGTGTTTCCCCACGTGTTCCTCAATCAGACAAGAAGGCTAGTAGTGTCTCCCCAAGACAGAAGAAGGCTGCGACAACGCCTCGTCCATCTGCACAGCAGCTATCTTCTAGAAACATATGCAAAGTCTGTAAGAAGAAGTGCAAGAACTGGACGGCTCTTGCATGGCATATGAGGATCCACAAAAAGCCTTTGTTCAAGTGCCCTCTGTGCCAGTACCGCAGTCCATCAGTTTACAATGTTCGCCGTCACATCCAGGCGTTGCACAACTTGTCCACGGATCGTGTGGATGAGCTCCTGAGTCGCAAGATCGAAGAGAAGGGATCGGAAGTCAGTGCTGAAAGCAAGAGTGCACAGAACAATAACGACAGTAGCTCCCCGCCGGCTTGCGACATCTGCTTCAAGACATTTGCAAACCGACGGAATGTAGCTCGTCACAAGGTGATCCATGAGCGGGAGAAGTTGCAGGCAGAGGGGAAGTACACGCCAGCATCTAACGCCACCCAGGAGGAAATCGCACGAGGGAAGGTGATGCAGACCATGGATGAGAAGAACATGCGTTGTCGTCGATGCCACAAGCAGCTTTCAACTGTCCGCCGATTGCAGCAGCACTGCTGCAACCACTTTGGCTACAATCGCTACCGATGCCGCATGTGTCCTTACGAGAATAACGACTATACGCAAATGCGCCGTCACATGATGGGCAAACATGGCCGGCAGTTCCGTACCATCCAGCAAATCTCGGAGGCCATCAAGTCCATGAAGGTTGGAGTCTGGATCAATCTGACTCAGAATCAAAACTCGGAGGACGCTGACGCTAAAAAGGCAAGCACCTCAACGAGCAAAGCATCAAAATCGGAAGACAAGAATCCGAAACAAGGAGCTTCAACAAGCAAAGCTGGAAGCTCTACCCCCAAACAGGGCACTACGGCAACAAAGCAGACTCCTTCAACTGCAAAAGTAACTAGCTCTGCAGTGGAAAAAGTCAGTAACAAAGGAATAGAGGATGGGAAAGCCAGCGTATCCTCATCGCCAGTGAAAGTGAAGACAGAGTCTGAACCCAAGAAGGTCGCAGAGAGCCCTTCAAAGGATGTACCTTCCTCTTCGTCAGCCAGCTCCCCAGGAACCTCCAGGAGATCTTTAGTGGATACTGTCGCAGCAGGGAAGGAGCGAGAGACACCCATGCGCCAGGCAAGACTTAATCATCGTAGCGTGTCCCCAAAGGGACCCCAGGAGAAGGAAGAGGAAGAAGACAAAGCCCTGCTTCAGATGATGATGGACAAGAAGAACATGAAGTGTCTCAAGTGTAAGAAGCGCTTTCAGTACCACAGCTCCTTGCTGCGACACACCCGCATCCACCTCTTGGAGGAATCCTCCTCATCGGAGCAGGGAGGAACCAAGAAGAACCGCGAGTCTGCCTCCAAGAAAGCCCAGGCCATCAAGAGCCTGATCAACCCGAGTCAGCTGCGATGCCTCAAGTGTCGCAAACGCTTCACCAGCATGAGCACCCTCAAGCAGCACGTCGGCCGCCATCTCGGATACAACACCTTCAAGTGTCGCTACTGCGGATACTTGTCGCATAACTACTCGTGGTTCAAGAACCACCTGATCATCAAGCATTCTAATCATGTTGACAATGCTAGTGATCTGGGTCAGCTTATAGGCAGCATGAAGACCAAATGAATTTACTGAGTTTTTTTCCAAGCAAATATTTTTTTCTCTGGCAGTGCTTGGTTATTTTCAAATTCATAATTTTGGTCCAACAAAAAAACAATCATCAAGCTTGTCAGTGTAAAGAAGCAAAGTGTAAAAAGGGTGGAATTTGGTTTTCTGTCACAAAATATATTATTGTACATAAAAAGAGTTACTGTCAGATTCACTTCATACTCACCTGTGAATGACTCGTATATTTTTAAATGGTTATTCATGACCCAATTTTAGCATGTAAATGTACATTGTACATATCCCTTTTCTACAATTTGTTAGCCTTACCCTCTCCAAATCAATCAAATCGAAAATCAAAATCACCAAAAAAGCTTGACAAGTATTGAAAATAGGTCTCGTTCAAATAACGTCATTTCCTACAGACCATCCACGTGCATCGGCATTTTGAGCATCAACTTGCATAACGCGATGCGCGTTATGCAAGTTGTGTTCGAAATACAATGCAGCCGATGCGGCTGCATTGTATTTCGAACACATTTGAGCAACAAGCGTGCGTGTTTTCAACACTGCGCAATGCGTGCTTGATTGCGTAAAATACGCAGTTTCAGTTCTCCTACAGAGATGGCCGTCATTGAGCGAGCCCTATAGGTCTTTTAGATATCATTTCTATGTGATTTATCTGTGTATCTTTAAACAGTGCCCAATAATATCACAAATTACCACTTCTACTTTTTTTCTCAGTGGGTTTGTCAGTGAAATGTTTCATGTTGAAAATTTAATCAAGGGAAACATTCACAATGTGTTTCAACTTATGAAGTGTATCTTGATTGTCTATCTTGAAGTTATTTGTGAGACAAAAAAAAGAATGATTTCAATGTACTTAAAAACTTTTCTACCTGATCACTGAGACTGATTTTTTTTTATCTGGTTTGTACGGTTCAAAGCCAAAATGATATTTGTTGCCGCTCCATGTATTGTGTCGCCTAAGGCCAAAAAAAAAAAAGTCTCCGGTTTCTGGTATGGAGCTTTCCCAAAAAGTGGTGCGGCGACGCGGCTTTTTTTTTTTTTTACCCGTTTTTTTTTCTTCAGATGTCAGCTGATGACTGCAAATGGTGCCCGACTAAACTTAGTGCAAATATATGGGAGTCCAGAGAGGCCACATAAAGCTTATTCTCGATCATAACCCCATCTAAAAACACGTTAAAATTGTGCAGCAGCAGGATTCCAGTCAAACCAGTGAGTTTGAGACATCATCTTTTATTGAAAAAAAACCTTTTTCATTTTGCCGACGCGCATGGCTACGGCGACGCGTGCGCATACCAGAAACCGGAGACTTTTTTTTTTGGCCTAAAGGAAGTTTTGAGAGACACTAACCAGTCCTAAATTCTGTATGACCATTCCGTAGACCCGTATGTTAAAGTTTGGAAAAAATGTATAACTTCTACATGCCTTCATGGATTTTGATGAAACTTGGATGCAGTGACCCTTGGATGGGAAGACATACTTCTTCATCGGATTACTGAGGTCAAAGGTCATGTAGGGGTCATTAGAGGTCATTCAAATATGCTTCAAGTGTTTCTCTTTGTCTACAGAATTTGATGGATTTTAATGTTGCTTGGATGGAGTGCTCCTTGGATTGAAATTCATTGTAACTCTTCCGAAATTGCAGGTCAAAGATCATTTAGGTGTCATTTGAGGTCGTTTAAAAATGCACAAAACTTGACTTTTTGTAAGAGCACAAAACATATAGGGATTGACCGCAGAAATAGGTGATACATCGTCGCGCCAGTGCAACAAGGTCGTAACTCCATTGTGCAACAAAGTCGTATCTCGCGCGATACGCTCAGTGCAACAAGGTCGTACTCGACGTCGATATCATTGACTTTGTGTGTACATCCGGGTTGTTTTAAGTGAGATACGACCGTTTGACATTCTGAAACTTGCTTTTCATGGACGGCCCATTTTAGGAGATATGACCTTGTTGCACAGACATGACGACATGCAGTCCACGGAACAGATGTATGTTTTACAATCAAATTGAACAGCATGTTCTTTTCAGCATGTTCTTTTCAACTTCAGGAAACTTCCTACCAGTGTTTTAGTTGAGTCTATCACAAGTCCATCACAAGTTCAGTCGCAAGTAACAGGCTATGAACAATAACAAAGAAATGGTTCAATTTAAAGCCTGAGTCCATCATTTGCAGCTATCCAAAAAGTAACTGGCGTAATTATTGTTGAAAAACATACTTGGTTGAAAGATAGTAAGGGGACTAAACTCCCTGTGAAATTATTCTTTATGGCAAGCTGTCATTTTGAAGAAATCAACGAAAGAAGGCTTTTCCAACGGTGCTTCTTAAGACGCACCGTAGGAAATTCAAACTAGTAGTTCGTTTTGTTATTCGGCGAAGTGCGCGCAAACATTGGCACGATGCACCCGCTCGCGCGGTTGCTATAATTCGTCGGATCAGTGCTGGACATCGGCTAGCTGCAATCGGCTCAGTGAGAACGTGTCTCGGACGCTGAATTCAGGCCCATTTCAAAACATGATGCAGCAACTTTTGATTTGAAATCGAGACCCTAGAATGCTGTTTTTCTCGAAAAATGCAGCTGAAGCTGAGCTGAAGCTTACTTCATCAGATTGGTTGTTTAGCATCCTTCTTCAGATATTGAGCACTTTTGTTGCTTCAAACGAACAAAATGCACAAATTACAAATGATGGACTATATCTATAATGGCTTTTGACTTGAGACTGCATGAGTTGTAATGGACTTATGTCGACTTGTGATGGACTCCAGTACAACACTTTTCTGACCCATACTACTGTAGCTTTATACTCCATGATTGGAAATTGGAAATCTCTTTGCTAGTTTTTTCTGACAACCACACATACTCATGAAGGAGATTATCACTGCTTTTCTCATGTAGACGATAGATAGAAAAAAAAGAGTTTTATTTTTTAATATGCGGTGCAATTTGCTGTGAAAATCTTGCTTGAAAAATGATAGTTTGACTGCACTATTTTTTGTACAAAAAACCTGCTGAGTCACTCATGTACAAAATATGTATCTTTGTTTTGTTAAAATGAAATTGTGGACAGTGGTATTTCAGTTTTACAATGTAAAAACAGTGTTTTATTTTTGAAGGAATAAGTGAGTGAAAGAATTGTTTCTTTTTGTAAAGTTTTACTTATTTTGCACCAGAATTACAACTATTGAAAGGAACTCAGTTAAAGAATTAACAAAGGTGATTTGGCTTTGAATTTAAGGAATTGCATATTCACAAATATAATTATACTCAACTATCAGTTGGTTTTGGGAAGAACTCTTATACGGTTATTCTTATTGGAGTTGAAAAGAGGCAGCAGCCTTAGCAACTGAGATTTCATTGGCTGGGAGCCAGGATGAGTTTTCCTTCTCTGTGTTGTGATTGGCTGAGCTCACAGAATGTATCGCACCCTCTAAGTGTGCATTCATGAATATTCAAATTTAACTCATAAATATTTATATTGCACTTGAATATTTAAATTACATGCACTCGCCAGTGTCTGATTTCAATCCAGCGAATGAAGGCAATAAGCCATTTGCGAAGAACGTATACCCTTTGCGAGATAAATTTGAAATAACATCTGGTACACTGACTTGCTCATAATGCTTGGCACGTTTTAACTTTTAATTCTCCAGACCAAAGGCACTGTTGCTATATCACATGATTTGGGGCAAGCTCTTGCATAGTTACGTAAGAGACGCTCAGCATCAATACATTGCTCACAATGGGTGAGAATGGCACATAGCCGGAGCTGGGGGTTGCTTTATAAGGCTTGCCCCAAATCACGTGATATAGCAACAGTCTCTTTGGTCTGGCGAATTCAAAGTTAAAATGTGCTAAGCATTTGAGCAAATCTGTGTACCAGATGTTATTCAAATTTAATTCGCAAATGGTTTATTACATGTATTGACAAAGTTCCCAAGTATGTATGAATAGCGCCCTCGTATGTTGAATGTATTGTTGCTTCATTGATATGAAATTTTATTAACCATGAATATTAATTGTGAGTTAATAGGTTAATTGTGAGTTTCCTTTTAGCATTATTGTCGCACATATGAATCCCTCAAATTTGCAATAAAATTAGATTTACAAAAAAAAAATGGCTGTAATTTAAAAAACAATAGAAAAGTTATAGAATGTATCTTTATGTTATACGAATGAAGTAAAATTTATTTCAGAGATTTTGACATTTTGCAGAGAAATGATGTTGATTTTATCCGATAGCGTATTGGACTAGCTATGGTCATGTGACACATTGAGACTGGTAACTTAGATTTCGGAAGAATCCTTAAGCATTGTCTTAGCTTCAGGGTACTAGATAATGCTGTTGCATGAGATGTAGATTTATTTAGCTGAGTATACAAAATGGTTCCAAGAAAAAATCCTACAAATTTATATTATTGCCTGTTGAATTTGCCATTATAATATACTGTAGAATTATGCCCTTTTTCACTTGCGTGTATTGAGAAGAAAATATTGTCTAATTCATAAAATAAAATATATTCACCCTAGGACCGAAGAGCCTAACCACTTGTTTTTGCATTTTAAAAAAAAAGTTTGCAATTTAGTAATTACAAGCAAATTTCAATATTAAATATTAAATTTCTCTATATTCTGGCATAATTTTGATTGAGTGTGAATTATTCTTGTTCAGCTATTAAAGTTACTATTATTAATTATGTAGATGATGAACAGATTTTGTATTTTTCCTCCCCAAAAAAGCGAGTATTGAATGTTTTCATATTTGACTGCATGCTATAGACTACAGAGAGTACAATTTAATAAGATATAACCAAAGAAGCAGATAAAAGTTTCCTTCAATGTGAATATTTGTGATATATTCTTTCATTCTTCAAATAGTGAACAATTCAATATTCAGACATGTATTATCTCTGTATACTCCATCTGTATTTGGAATAAAAGTTTTAAGAAAAAAAATGTGCTGTAGTTTTTTTTGTGTGTTTTGATTACGTAACATGCCCTTTCTGAGATTGATCAGAATTGACCTATCGCGTTCGAATCGCGTCAACGCAGCTTGTGAAATATTGTCAAATTGCATCATATACCAATGGACGTGCAACGCGCACAATCTGAGACAAACAAAACTAAGTGTACAAAAAACTCCATAGGGTTGTCTAAGGGGCATGGCTAGCTCGCAAACGGCGATAGGTCAA